GGAAAGCAACACATTTTACAAACCAAGTAACAAATATACGATCTTTAATTTATACATTTTTTTATGTATAAATTTTATATAAGAACAAAAAAACAACGATAAGATTTCAAAAATCTTAAAAATAAATATCAAAATATTTTTATTAAACGCTTGAGTGGAAAGATAAAATTGCGTTAAGCTAAGAGGGACATTCCACTTATCCACAAAAAAAAAGGTTATATAAATCGCCTTGAAATATTTCTTATCTTATTAATGGCTTAATCCCATTTTTTTTTAAAAATTATAAGGTTGGACTTTCATGCAGAAAGTAGTAATCGAGTGATCAAAAACAGTGGAAGTTCAATTATAATCAGTTTCGGAGGGCCACTTTTATTTATTTTAAAATGGAATTAGGTTTCCAGTTTCTTTACCATCATTCCAAATATCGGCTTGCGTACTCATGAACGTATCGACAATTGCCCACCGCCAACACTTCCTTCTTTCCGGTGTGGCTCGTTGAACAGATCGGACGAAATGGTGGGAAATCAATATAATTGTTTGGAATCATTAAATATTCTGGAAATATAAAAATTATTAAACATCCTCAATATCTTTCTCTACTAGGCGGCACACAAGTCGTTCAGAATAAAGCAGAAGCTGGCTAAAAAGCTGAAGCAGAACAGATCGGTTCCCCAATGGGTTCGCCTACGTACTGGCAACACAATCCGGTAAGTTTATTTCAATATCGATTTTCTTTATAGTTCTTTATTCAGTGAACATTAGAATTTGCGTTTGAATAAGGGTTTTGTCGAAATTTTGCAAGTGCAGACGTTAAAAATTATACAATAAGAATTATTATTATTATGTGTGAGATTTAAGCACTACCGGCGTCAAAACAGAAAGTTTCGCGATTCATAAATAACTTTATGAATTTAAACTTTGTGCGCTTTGGCATCCCATATTTTGCATTTTAGTCAAATGGTTGACCTTGCCTCTAAAATACGGTCTCCAAAAATTGTACTAACTTTTCCCAATCTGTTTTTCTTTTTTAGCTACAACGCTAAGCGTCGTCACTGGAGGCGTACCAAGTTGAAGCTGTAAGCTGTTGATTCCAGAAGCTCCGCAATTTGTTGGAATGCTTATGACCTTTTCAAAAATATAAAATAAATTCGTTTACAATTTTCGGATTAAATCTCCTGTTGTTTTATACGTTGGGTTTCAGCGGCGGTATGGATAAAAGATCTATGGTTTCAGAAATTAGTAAGGAATTTTACTAAGGCATCCGCCCTCCTAAAATACTGGAAACTTCCTTGCCAAGAATGGATCTTGCCTTATCAATAAAAAAATGTACTAAGAAGGATTTTCGTAAATCAAATATCAGGTTAAAATTGTACGACAGCTGCAAAAGTTCCAATGAGACCGATTTAACTTGTCAGATCTATTAACTGATAATAATCATGGATCAAATGAACTCAGATGTCGAATATTTGCATGTATTTCCAAATTTCCACTGAGCATCCTATGCTTAAGCTTTGAATTGTTCAATCTAATAAATGGAGAACTTTTCCGCTTGATAAGCTTCTAATACGTCTTATCTATAAGCCCATTGGCAGCACGTCAGCTCCAAGTAAAATACTTTCCAGTTGGGTCAATTATTACAGACTGTAACGCGTACAATTTATTAATTCTGGATTAAAAACTGTTTATTCCGCGGGAACTTCAATAGAGCCCTCGTTAAGTTCGTCAATAACATCATGAGGGTGCTTTCCGTCAACGGTGCAGCCGACGCTCTGAGCAGTACCCAAAACTTCCTTGCAGGTTCCCTTCAGTTCGCGGGCCATGGACCTGGGCCTCATCACTCGGGCGATGGCCAGAATATCATCGAAAGCAATGTTGCCACTGTGTTTGACTAAAAATGGAAAAAAAATTGTTTGTTAATTAAGTGGCCAGCCATGAGAGAGATATTAATGATGAGTGCATTTGGGCTATCCCCGGGACGAGAACATTGTTTTTGTTCAATGTATAAAATTCAGATGCACTTGAAATCCCACAAATTCAGGATAATACTTACTGTTCTTCTGCTTCTTGCGGTCACGTGGGGGTTCCTTCAGAGCCTTGATGATCAGAGAGGCAGCGGAGGGAACCACGGAGATGGCAGCCTGTCGGTTCTGGATGGTCAGGCAGACGGTGATCTTCAGACCCTTCCAGTCGGAGGTAGCCTTGGCGATGTCATCTCCAATTTTTTTAGGCGACTGTGGGAAAATTACACCAGTTAGTTCAAAATGGGGCTCAGGTAAACAAACAGATTTGTATGCTTACCAGACCGAGGGGACCGATCTTGGGGGCCAGGGAAGATGTGGCTCCGACTTCTCCGCCCACGCAACGCAGGTACACTGTAATGGACAAAACAATCCGTTATTATACGCATAGACTTATTTTTTATTATTGTCCATTTAGAAGCATAACTCTTCATATCAACAATGGAAAACTTACCCAATTTAACTTCCGTGGGGTCGAATTTGGGAGGCATTGTGGTATCTCGGCTTGAACAGTCGCTAAAAGGTAAAGATTACATTAGTTTTCGTCGATTTTTTAAAAGACATTTTGGGCTCTGTACTGTACCGCTAAAAGACACACAGAAAAAGAAAGAAGAAGCTTATCGATTTCCGGCACGAGTGTATGAATGTTACTTATCGCAAAGAGCTATCGAAATAAAATGTATATTAAATGAAACGTGGAATTGAAACGAGTTCAAGCAATGCGATATATGGCACACAAATTTATTTTAATATTTCCTTTTTATTAGTTTTACCCTGTAAATAATAGATATGGCTTTTAAAATAGAAATAAAATCTGTGAAAATTATTTGTCAATTCAAATGTTGTTGCAATCCCTTGTGGTCAATTTACATGACTGTATATCGATTGTATATCATACCGATTTTAAAAACAATCGTTTGGTTTTGTTGGACCTACAAAATATTTGCACTTTTGTTGTATGTTTTTCCTTTTTTAGCAGTTCTGCAATATTGGCATTTAACATTTGTCAAATAGATTTATGGATAAAAATCATGTACATATGTGTGTAAGTCATTTCTGACATCACACATATGTATTAGAACATGAACAATTGGCATACTATGAATCAATAAATTGGTCCGGTTCGATTCACCTTTTTTCAAAAATACTTTATTTTTATAAGTTGTGTACATACATATATAACCGGTAGCATCAGACTGGTCTGGTTCCCGCCCTGTTTATTGCCGGCGGGTTAAGTGACGCCATTCATTCGACTGACAAGCACTTTGTTTACTTTTCCCATTGAGCAGTGCGAAATATAAAAAAAACAGCGTCCCACTGCCGATATTTTCATCTTTATCAACCGCCTCTACTAAAGAAAAAACGGATCAAAATTTTACGGATGACGTTTAGGTAAAAAATTTTATTGGCAATCGTGTATCTTGTTACTCAGTTATTCAAACATGGATGCTTCGAGTTTCTGTTATATTTATTACAATCGTTAGAACCAGATTTAAGATGTAGAGCCAACTAGCCTATACATTTGTTTCAGATGTAAATGCAACAGAAATTTGCAGCGACACATTTTGCTTATTTGTCCAGAGCGGAATTATTCTTAATTGCGATTACACACTCTTCTCCGCACGCCTTAAGAACGGTGCACTGCAAACAAAAAGATGGGAATAATTAATGTCTGATGCAGTTATAAAATGACGAAAAAACTTACAAGCAAGTCTTTGCCATTATCAAAATCTGAACGCAATTGGTCGCCCAAATCGCCATCTGGAACCTTCAAGTCTTCACGCAAATCTCCGCCTTCGGTCATCATGGTAAGGAAGCCATCATCACTTATAGCTATCAACTGAAGGTCTTCCCTTTTAACATGGGGCACATCCATGTTATGAGTAGATGGGCAAATATCTTCATATCTGCAATAATGATAAACCAAAAGCGCGTTTTAATAATGAAAGTATATAAGATAATTTCGTAGTCATCTTGCATAATTAAAGCTTTAAGATGTAGGTAGAGCCTAAATAGGGTCGCACGGGTAGATTCCTCCTTTCCTACAAAATTATCGATACTTTCAGTCCAAGATAAGATTACTTGCGAATATTTTTCGTTGATTATATTCAAGAGCACGGCGATGCTTCCTTTGTGTTAACTGCCAGATTACTCACTTCTTGTTGGAGAAAATGTCAATGCCGACCATGTGAACCTTGGCGTGTCCGTGCTTTCCAGTCTTTGAAGTAGACATCTCGACAATCTTGCATGGCCGAGACTTCAACATGACGAATCCGTTTTTGCGCAATGCTGAACATTGCATGGGATAGGTCGCCGATGCGCCGGAATCTGCAGTCTCAAAATGATCGTCCAAATCTGCCATATCTGCCACAACACAAGAAATTAATTGGATTAATTATTTGGTAATTAATTACAAATTATTTGTTGTATTCACTCAAATAGGGATCCAGTGTTCAAAGCACATATAGTTACAGACAGATTCGCATATATGTAAATACAATGTGTGCTTGCCGAAAATATGCATGCATGTATGTACATCGGCAGGCACGGCACTCATATGTATGTAATCAAAATGTTGTATGCCAAATGCACACCCAAGCACTTTAAAATGTTCAAACATTTAAATTGGCAAAGTCATTCATATAAGGCACTCGAAAGTTGTGTACTGCAAATTTGTATGTATATGTATGTATGTAAATACTTTCTTTCGCACATAATGGAATGTGCGGTGGCGACTGGATGTTAATTTTAGTTCGGGCTTAATTTGTAACTGTTTGACCGAGCTCCGAGTACAACAAATTATTTTCATAGATTTCCGGCCGAATTTGCAATTTTTAAATCCGCAAAAATGCGAAATTACCAACCTACTTGCAAAGTCCAGTGACTGTTCCAACCGAAGATGTAAAATGAAAGAACCCTGCTATCGAATCAAACCCACGTTTTGTTTCCGGTTAACAATAAGAGTGAAACAGGAATGCAACTTAGCACTCGGAATATTCATCGCTTTCCACAGTCACTAAATTTAGGAACTGTGGAATCGGCACACCAAAAATTAATAAAGCCATTATAAAATTCCCTATGTAAGTAATAAAATTGTTAATATTTATACTTAATAAAGTACACAATAGCTTACATTTTCAACAGCTGACTTATATTTTAAAAAACTATAGCGACGAAAAAAAAAATTTAAAATCTTGCTAATTCGAATCTGCCATGCCAACTCTGCCTGTATTCCCCATGTTGCAAAAACAAAATTGGCCTGTCAACTTAGCCTGAATTCGCTTTTATTATTAAATAAAACACATTTTTAATGGTGCTTAATTATGTCTTTCAGGATATAAATAATGTTTAATATTTCTTTGTTAATTTACACAAGATACATGTATAACTTTCAGAATTTTTGTATTTATTGCTGATTTACTTTTTTAAAATATACTTCAATGGGCAGGGACGGTATGAAATTATCGTTCTCTAAATGGTTAATTTTTCTGGCGCTGTGCTGCTTTGACTTTACTTTTATCATTGATTGCCTCATCTTCATATTGCCGCTGGAAATAGTCATAATTGCGGATTCCGTTACTAAGGCGGATTTTTCTTCTGTTATTCCGTCGGCGCGAGACTTCGCCACAGCGTGATTTATTGATTTCGTTGAGTTTCGAACAATTCCGTTTTCATCGGCATTGGTCGATTTTCGCGTGCTTGTTGATGCCCTGCGTTTAAACTTATTCATCGATTCATTGTCGATTGTTGTGTTTTTTGTTGGTTCTGGTGAAACAGTAGAATTTAAGTGTTTGCGTCTTTGGTAAATTCTTTTCGACTTTTTATGTTCCGCCTTAACATTAATGGATTTAGTTGAATTTCGTGTTATTTGAATCGGAACCTTTTTAGTTGATGCCAAGACTCGTAGTTTTCTAAATTTCCGATTAACATTTGTCCTTCTTGTTACGGGCGTGGGGGTTGTAGAATCGGGCAATGTTGTGTTACTATCGATAACAACTGTGCTTGATGCGGTTAAATTTTGAATGTTCTTCGGAGTTTCTTTTGTGGTAACGAGATTTTTCAGATGCAGCTTTAACAATTTCAACTTAGTTTCAATATTTGACGAAAAGTTTTTAGTAGCTTTCATAGATTTCAATCTGTTTTTGAAGGACTGTGTTGTAACATTTGTTGTGGAAAAGTTATTTTTTATGGGTTGTGGAGTGGTCCAACTCGGAATATTTTCGAAAAGCGATGATTCTGTTGATGTTGTTGCGGTAGCTGAAGTGGTTGAACTAATCAAATTTGGTCTAGTGCTATATTCGATATCGAATAAAGTGGTTTTAGATGGAAGCGCAGATTTCGTGGTTGTTGTTGTTGTGGTAGTTGGAATTGGCTGAGTTGAATGCTCAAAACGTTCTGTGAATAAGACTTGGGGAACTTCTGTGGTAAATACTTGGAGACTGGGACGAAATTCATGTTGCTCTTGTGTACTGGATTTACCGAACTTGGATGCCGAATGGGGTAGAATAACATCGTCAAGAGTGAAGTAGGTGTGAGCAACATAATTAAAATAAGGCAGAGTAGTTGATGTAGTAACAGGCAATTCACTGGTCATACTGTGCGAGCTATATTGGTCTTTTGCAAAGTCTTGAATTGAGTTTTTGAAGCAGTTTTCTGTGCACTTTTTCCAGATATCATTGGAGTAGTCGGACTGGTTCCACTGATTCGTAACGCCCATTACACGTTCTGCGTTCGAAAGCGTTCTAGCGGTTAGCGGTACAAACGAGTTAACGGAAGAATGTGTTTTGAAATCCACTGGTGGGCTTACTGGACCTGTACTATACTCAATTGTATTAACGGGAGCAGCCACGTAATCCACTGTGGTTGCCGGCGTTGATGTTGTTTTGAATCCATGAAAATTATTCAAATCCCTAAAGACGCTCCTGAAAAATAAAATTAATAAAAGGCAAAGAGACCAATATAGAAAATATACCTTTTTGAATTGGCATAAGCTTCGTGATATTGAGTAGGGGAGTGTACGTATCTTGGCAGCATATGCACATTGCGCATATAGTTTTTTAGTCTCATTTTTCCTACCAAAATCGGAGTCCTGTTGTTGTACCAATAAAATTTTCGCATAGCACTCGGGTGTTGTCTATATAAAACAATTGCTGGATGATCTACAGACCACATCTAAAAATGGATTTAAATTGCACACTTTCGCTTTTTTAAAGAGCTATTAATATTTACCTGTCGTTTTGGTCTCATATAAGTAGAAGATGCCCTTATATTAAGCAGTATATAAAACAGTCCTAAATAAAAATTTAAAAACTTTAATTGAGGGGTTAACTCAGACTTTAATTTTCGTACCTATTGTCATATAAATGACAATAACGCTGCTTTTCACTTTCCCCAACATATTGTACCAATACGTTTTACCGCAGACAGCTAACGACTACTACCATTAGTTTTTCATAAAAATTATTTGCTACTTGGTTAGGAGAAGGTATGTATATGTGGGTTTTTGCAGACTTTGGAGGAGGTTGTATACTTTGTTAATCATTCACACTTAAAAGAGCTTTGAGACTAAAGTAATATATCATTTCTTGTTACTTATTAGCTTACTATTAATTCATCTCTTTAAAAACCTTGAAAAACTGATTCTGTAACTAGTATAAGATTCCTTAAAAATCAATATTCGGCTATTATTTCGTCTGAAGTTGCAATGTGAATGATTATAATTAAGATAGTTTTCAGATGCTGCATGGAAACCATAGCGTGTGTTCTATGGAGCATAAAAATCAACGCTTGGACAAGCTCATCTTCTCTGTTATAATTGTTGCATCTTATATGTATATAATTGAATACACTTTCAAGGGGTAAGTCAATTTTCTCAAAGAAATTTTCGCATTCTGTTTGCTATAGACCTTGTTGTTACCCATTAATGCATTAAAACATTGCGTGCATATTTCGGTATAAAAAATAATGATGGGTTAGGTATCCGAAAATTGCATGTCTGGTTGCGACATACATGTACATATGTATATGTATGTTAAATTATTTATATTATAAATGAATTACTTGCATGTCTAAATAAGAACTGGAACTTTAATTGATTTGAGCAATAGGAAACAAAATGTCGCGTAAAGCAGTCAAGGGTTGTATCGGCTTTTTATTATTTTTTGTTAAAAATAAAAGGTAAATTTCTGTGTTATTAGTTTAAGATAATTGTATATCAAAAATATAACCTAAAGATACTTATTATTGCAGACTATATTGGACATTTGTAATCATTGTTTCTGGATGGAGCATGATAACAATATTTATTCTTCTAAAGAATAGATATGAAACGGATTCCACGAGTATTGGAGTGTCAACGTCTTATAGTCGTTGGACGAACACCTTTCCATCGATTGGAATATGTTTATCCAAAGCTCGGATAACTGATGACTTTACGGACGCTGTTAATAAACGTTTTCCTGGTGGAAAACAACCTTACACATATGTAAGAACTTTATACGATTACCTCTTTATAAACCCAAACAACTTATACATAAAGCCGGATCATTGCAAGGAACTAAATTCCACATGTGGAGTTGATATTTTGGAGATGAGAAGAGAGGTATTGAATGGATAAATGTTTTTAAATTGTGCTTAACATATTCGATTATAGTTATTCCCGACGTCGTGTAGGGATTTTTTGGACAAAATTTACTTTGCTGGAAAACTGCTCCCCGACTGCGAAAAAATATTTAAGTTTCATGAACTAGAAATGGGTTATTGCTTTCTTGCCAACAATTTAATGGACTAGTAAGAATAAATATTAAAAAACTTTATAAACAAATTGCATATCCCTTGAAATTCTCCTAGTGAAAGTACCGAAAAAATGCCTTTGTTATATTCGTCATTGGACAAATACCGGAATCTACGATTGGTGTTGAAAAGTGGCCTAGTATATCGCTATGATGTAAGAACCTTTAACATATTATAGCCCCGATAGTACAATTTCTATTAATTTGTATGTAGTTATATGTTCACAGTCCCGAGGATCTACCCTATTTTAATGCGGTAACCTATGCTATTAACGAGGAGCCTATGATACATAGTTTTAATGTCGAGGAGATTCATAATCACGATGGTGTCATTTATGAGCCAGTTTCTCAACGGCTTTGTAAATTTCCCAGTGAAAGTTCTATCAAGGGACTTCCATATAGGTGAGTCTTTCAGTTCATTGCATTTAATAAATTATTTTGTAAAATGTTTTTTCAGTTTTTCTATATGCATGTCTCTTATTCGAAGTGAAATTGAGATGAAGATCTGTAATTGCACTCTATTTAGTCATAAAGATTTTAGTAAGTATGGGCCAATTTTTTAATGTCATGTTAGGGTGCTAATTCGGGAAAGGAAATATAGTCTGTTGAGAAATCGCTTCTTAGTCAGTTAAGGCTTAAAATTTTTAAATTTAATTTTTTTTAACGTATTACTCTTTTTAGGTGCAATGAACTATTGTGGAGTCAAGGAAATTTCCTGCTTGGAAACAGGTGAGTTTTAGTTTTTGGGGATAAAAGTAACTGGTACTATTGTATAATTTCAGGAAAACTTGCAGAAAAGGTTAAGAATTATGTTGGAAATAATATCGTTTGTTTACCATCCTGCGTAGAGCAGCAGATAAGCCCCGTCGGGTAAAAAAAATGATTTTTGATTTTTTACATTTGTAATACCCATACGCTTTTAGGTCCAGAGAGAAAAGAAGTAAAATAGACGAAACTGAGGGTCATGTAGTCGAAATCGAAATAGCATCTCCGCCGGCTGCCAGATATTACAGAACTGTCACCCAGACCAAACTTGATTTAATAGGTATAGTTTTATAAACTTGCCTTAGCATCTTATTTATTATTAACTTTTCAGTTGGCATTGGAAGTGTTATAGGACTCTTTTTCGGCGCATCTTTACTTAACCTTTTGGAAATAATATCATTTTTTTTCAAAAAATTTAAAACAATGGTTGTAGGTTAGAACTTTAGATGTTATCAACTTTTCAATTTCGCAGCGGCTTTTACATGTTATTTTACTCCCACAAATAAAATAAATATATTCTGCAAAGACAAACGTATGGTTTTTATTAAAATTGTGCTAAATGTGCTTAATTATTATTTTCGAATAAATCTAAATGATAGTTTGCGATTTCGTTTTCTATAAAAATATTAAGGTCACGGGAGTTATCATTCTTAACTTTATGCACAGAAGTGTTAACATTTTGTTTTTTATAACGCAGTCCAACTCTAAAAAAAAGCAGTCAGACAGATTTCTTTTCCGAAAGTTTATAATGGCTTACATTCTGATTGAGGGTATATCAGGAGAGCTCCTCATTTTATCGGAGGACTTTGCTCTCAAGTAGCGGTGCTTAATATCGACACCAGAATGCTCATCCTGAAAAGTTTTGTGTTTTTAGACCTTTTGGTATACAAGTCCATCAATTCACTCACATCTCTCATATTGTAGGTGATAACCAAATTGTTGACGAAGCTCTCAAGAAATTCTGGATAAGCGTCCAGAACGTCCAGCAAGTCGTCTCTATGCAACTTATGGATATCGCAATATGTCAAGGCTCTAACCACTCCATTTGATTTCCCAAGCGTTGGATATATACAAGGGTTTTCGCCAAATATGTCGTTCTTGCCTTAAACGAAAATAATATTTAAACGAAAATAATATTTAATTTCGATGGTTAGAGTAAAACATCAAAAGTAACTTACCTAGGACGATAATCATATTGCCACCTCTTTGAATTTCTATGGATCCCCTGGCTATAAAAAACAAAGAGGTGAGGACGTCTCCTCTGTGAACTAGGATATCACCAGGTGGCGCATGGGTAGTTTTAAATTTAAGGGAGAATGCTCTGAAAATGGAAAATGACTTTTATTAAGATTCACGTAACTATATTTAAACCTACCTTAGGCAACCCGGGCTGGCCTCGGAAAAAGCGGCACAGGTTGTTAACAATTTTCTATTCAAATGCAGGCAAATGTCTGCTTGTAGGCACTCAGGAAAACCTTTGAGCAAGGAGCTCATATCGATTCCGTTCGTATCTTAAAATTTAATAAACGAAGCATAGATAAAAAAGAGGAAGAGTAAGAGTATAATTAATAATATTACAGGTCCAAGCATGTTGAAAATATTCCTCCAGTCTTTGCCTGAGTGGATTTGGTATCTGTAGAAAGGGGAGAAGCTAAAGTGCATAATGTTTACAGCGTTTGGTATTCTTGATACCTGGTGGAATCGAATGAACTCCCGAACGCGTAACATTTGAGTATGATATCTTGCAGTTCCCGAGTAAAGTCTTTGTATGATCGCAGAAACATTTCCAAAAATGCTTGCATACATAAGAGCTTAAAAGAGAAGTTAAAAATATCTCAAGGTAAACATATTTTTATAGTAAGTGCATATTTCGCATACATCCAACGAGCATTACGCAAATAGTAAACGCTTTTTCAGCATCAGTATTCGGTGCCACATTTCCAAAGCCAACGGATGTGAGCGACGTAAATGTAAAATATAAAGCTGTGATATAGCGTGACTACAAAAAAAGATTGTATAATTATCCGTTTTTCGTGGTAAAACAAAAGAAGAAAACCTTTATAGAGGGTCCACCAGTTCGGTTGTCAAAATAGGGTTCTTGAATATCATAGGCCAACGAATTCAGCCAACCTATGTTTTTCGCCGCGATGGACTTTTCGGCATTTCCAATTGCATACCTGTAATAATGTTAAACTGTTTCTAAAAAACTTATTTAATATAAGCACTTTATGTACCATATGCAGGCCAGCCAATGGGCAATCAAAATAAAGGTCGCCATCAATAATATAAGAACTGCAGCTCCATATTCCGAATAACGATCAATTTTTCTGGCCACACGAACCAACCTTAAAAGCCGCGCTGTTTTTAAAAGTCCTATTAAAGTGGTCGTCTGGAATTACATCAACATTAATAACTTACTGATAAGAATTGTTACACTCACCTCATCGGTATCACTACCAACTAAAAGCAAATCAAATGGAACAGCTGCCACAAGATCAATTAAAAACCAACCGCTTAAGTAATGAACTGCTATACGTCCTGGATGAGATACCTATAAAATGGTACGGGATAATATATATGTTTTCCAAATTGAGGGTTCTTAATAGTACCACTTCATCCTGTGCGTTAACAAAAGTAGTTCGAAAGTTAATTAAAATATCCACGATAAAGGTGACATCCACTGAAAATGTCTATTATATTACTTGTTTCATAATAATATTATCACTTACCAATCAAATCGATTATAACAATTGGGTCAGAGTTTATGTATTTATTATTTCTTCTTTGGTAATCCTGTTCTCCAAGTAAAAACGCCGCCACATATGGAGTGAAAATCGCCGTATACATCACTAGGAATAATATTACCCAGTCCCACACAGCTTTAAACGGCGAATAGTGTAGTAGGGTCCATTTATGATAGTAATTATTCTGTAACTTTTGATCAAGCAATATGTTTCCCCCCAGAGAAATAATCTGTTAGAAAACCAAATAGTTAAATCAATAACCTATGAAGTTGATTAAAAGATTTAGATATACCATATCGTTGGGATCTTGCATCTTAGGTTCACTTTTAGACCCGAGAAGAGCTTCTTTGTCCAACATATCGTCGTATGAACTGCCCAATAAGTTTTCGCTTGTCTTTTCAGTTTGATTGTATTTTGTATTTTTAAACATGCATTCGTAGGAATTTCCTTTATGGGTTTGGAAAACATCATTATTGTTTTTACGCAATGGCTCATACGAGCAAAGTAAATCGCAATCCCGTCTAGCCAATGTCTGATAGTTTTTAATATATAGCTTCTTTTTATCACATTTAACGCATTTCTTCGACATTTTGATACTAGTGTGCTTTTTGGGTTGGCTTGTTTTAAGTTCGTTTGAGACATTATTCTGTTCGAATTGATTCTCTCCTTTGCCGACTTTAATTTTCTTCAAGCATTCTTTTTTATTGTTTATTTTTAATAGTAGAGGCGAAAAAAAGCAATCTCCTGTGAACTTCGAGCCATGCCTTTCCTTAGCTTTTGTCTTTGTCTTGAGCTCAAGGGTTTCGTCATCATTAGTGGGTCTGGTCCGCAAGAATTTGTGATAGACCAGAGTGCTATGGTCTGGAACATTTTTCGGAAATCTTGATAAACTCTCCTTCTTGTCGTCGAACATACTGGCGTTTATAAGGATATCTGAAACAAAAACCTGTTTCTTTTCAATCTTATTTAGGTTGCACATAAGAGAGAAGAGTTCCCTCTCAACAAATTTATTGGATTTTGCAAGGCAATTTCGTTTAAACTCCTTTAAAGGCGGTTTCTTAGCGGTATCATTAATATTATTGTTGGACATGTACAGCTCACATTGCTGCACTATTTTATCCAATTTTCGGATTTCGCTGAGTTCCACGCAAGATTTGTGGGACATTTTAAATCTGCAAAATAAAAGAACGAAAAAGAGTAGCAAATTAATATCAAACATTCGCAGTAAGCTAGATTTGGAAGCACTTTTGATTATAACTAAACAAAAATCCGTTACAAAACACCTTTCGATCTAAAATGTAGTGCGATTGCAACCTGCAAAAATGTCGACTTCTTACCTAATGCACTTTTTATTTACTTTGCAAATCAAAACTGAACAGGTATGGCATACACATAAAGAAATAGGACTTTGCTCAAATTTTAGTTAATTGATGTGCCACTTTTGAATTTATTTCTTTTCACTTTAGATATATAATCAATATAATCATAAGCTACATAAATGTATCATAACAATTAATAGCTGCTTTAATGCTGTTCTATTTAAAAAAATAAATTAATTAATATTTGTTTTCAGCGTATTCAAGTCTTATTATTTAGAAATGTTCAGACATGCGTACTTCGTCACCAAGTAAAATTTTGAATCCACCAAAATTTCCGAATCATTGTTAATGCACTGGTCGCATTCGGTCACACTACTTTTAAATGTAAACAATTGATTTTTCCTACAAAACAAAAGTTAACGAAAATGTCTGGAGTTGCTGCTAAAAAGATTGCCGAGGCGGAGAACTTGGTGAAACAAGCCGAGAAGAGGTAACAATAAATATATTGTCATAAGGGGAACAGCTATAAATACAACCAAATTATCTTTACAGCTTGAAATTGTCAATGTTGAAATGGGTACCTGATTACGATAGCGCTGCGGATGAGTATTCCAAAGCTGGTAAGTATTAAAAAAGTGGTGTGACTAATGTTTCGGAAAATATTATTTATATTACACAATTATAACATATATTATAAAATAAGTAAATCGTTTTATTTTTGCTTAAGAATTTTCATCAAAAATGGTCTTGGTTTTTGTGTATACGTGGTTGATGTACACAGTGCATCTGCAAATGTACATAAAGGAAGTTGTAAAAAAAAATAATGTTATATATTTTATATTACACACACTACCTTATCTAATACAGTTATTATTATAAATATTATTTGTTATTTTGTATCTCTTTAAAATTTATTTATTTATTTAACTTACCATTTTCAGCTACTGCCTATCGAATAGCCAAAAGTTACGATAAGAGCAAGGATTGTTTTTTGAAGTCTATTGACTGCTACAAAAACAACAAGTCCTGGTTCCATGCAGCAAAATCATACGAACAGGTAAGCAAACAAAATATAAAAGCTATCTATAACTCCCTAACTTGTAATGTATCTTTTAGATTATTTTGTTGTCTAAGGATGCTGATACACTTCACGAGGTTGAGGAATACGCCAACAAGGCTGCAAATTTGTATCAACAACATGGATCTCCGGAAGCAGCTGCTTCCGCATTGGATAAAGCCGCAAAATTAACCGAATCCAAGCATCCCGACATGGCGTTAAGGTTCTACCAACATGCCCTTGAAGTTATAATGGTTTGTAGTCACCTTTCACTCATCTTATGATCTCTTTTAGTAGTTACATGTACATTTACTATTTCGCACAGATTGAGGATTCCGTCCGTCAAGCAGCTGAAATTGCATCGAAAGTTGCAAGAATATTGGTTAAGCTAGGAAGGTAAGGTTTCAACTCACACCATTAATATTTATTTACTATTATTATATTATAAATTCAGGTACGAAGAAGCCACAAATGCGCTCAAAAAAGAGATAAGCTTAAATCAACAGACCGAATCCTATGGTCAAATTGGTCGGTTAGTCGTGGCATTGGTAATGGTGCAATTAGCTCGCGGGGATTCCGTAGAAGCTGAAAAAACATTCAGAGAATGGGGAAATTGTTGCGAGCCCGAAGAAGTCTCCACATTGCAAACATTGTTGCAAGCTTTTGATGACGAGGATCCAGAGTTAGCCGCTAGGATGCTTGCGTCCCCATTTATCCGACATATGGACGTTGAGTATGCCATTCTATCCAAAAACATTCCATTGCCCCAGGGCATTCAAGTGGAGAAGAAAGCCGGCGATAATGATAATGCTGGATTTGTAAGTACTATGATTTAAAAAAATTCACTTTCTGCCTAGATCCCTCTTTATCTTTACCTTACCTTACTTTTTTACATTTCAATATTTCAAATATCCATTAAACAGTTTGTTTTATAACTCAAGAAGAGCTGGCTTATTGTTTATTTTTTTAAAAGCTAACAAATTTGATCATCTCCTTTTAGGAAACCAATGACAATGAAGCCGAAGACGAAGGAGGCTTATGCTAATTTTATTAACGTTTTACGGTTTGCCTGTTAGTCAAAAAATATTTATCGTTAATAATATCGCTTTTAATATATAAATTGTTAAATACAAATTTCATCGCAATCGTTGTACTAATATCCTTAAGAAATACAAAAAACAGAAAATACTACAAGTTTTTGGATTAATCAATGGGTAAAATAATTATTTATCATTAATAAATGGGGTTACTGTTGTTTAATAATAAGCGTAAAGATTTGTTTAAACTGTACTTCATCATTGAAAATATATATGGTGATTTGAAAACGTAAGCTAAAGCTGTTAAAAATGTTTAATAATAATAATATTCAAAAAGATAAAGAATAAATAATATTACAACCAAAAACTTTAGTAAAATAGGTATTTCATATTAATATTAATATTAATTTTTTACTATTAATTTATTTGTATGTTTTTTCTGTTCTCGTTAATATTATTAAATTATAAATTCGTATCAAAATATAAATGCGTTAATATTTCTAAAATGTATCATTCCACCGTTCCTACTCGAGGAAAAACGTTTGAGACGCGTCACGACTCATGTTGATATTTTGCATTGCCCTGGCAACTCCTAACCTATGCGAAATAACCGACCAAATTGATTCGTCCGGTTGTTCGTGAAAGAAGGCGGAAGGTTAAACAGTATTTGTAATATATATACTTGGCAAGCAATTTAAAAATTGTGAAAGTAAAAAACTACAGGAAAAATGGTACGTATAATTCCGACTCTTAGTCACTTAATGTATGGAATCCAGCTAGTTAGAGTGAAATATTGGTGAAATCGCATGGAGTGAGTAGGAGTGCGAATAAAAGTGCCTTCGATTCGATGAATCATATAAGCATCTCCTTTGAAATCTGTATATATGTATGTATATACATTTAGATAAGTGTATATATACCAATCATACATATATTTTAACTTTTTTTTTGGCTATATGTACGTTGGCCATATTCGGGCATATAAATGGTCATGAATGTGTGCGTATACATATATACCAAATTAGTCATTGGTAGCAGCGGATATTACTCATTTATTGAAGTGTTTCCATACTTTTCGACAACTACTCACTCATAAATGGTAATTTGCGAAAATTAATCGCAGAAGAATGTAAAAAAAAAAGCAGCTGGAAAAATGGAGCAATTTTAAATTAAAAAGTTGGAAAGAGAAATGCTCACATTTGGATTTTTATGTGCATATATTTTTACACACTTGAGTGTGTGTGGGTATACCGCTTTTTTTATATTTCGATGGCTATAAATATGTACATATGCATGTATGTATCGGCGGGCAATGCTTATTTTCTCGCAGACGCAAAAAGTGTGTATGTAAAACTATATTACCATACAGAAATATGTATAAATACATATCCATATATGTATCTGCAGGCATACATATTTAAGGTGTGATCGTTTCCTTGCCGCCTGCGTATGTATGTATGTTTTTGTGTGCGAGACATGTCTGTATGTATGATTTTGGTTTGTCGGCGCTTTCCCGAATATTATGGAAAATCGTGCATTTTCTTTCGTTTTCCAACCTCACACAAGTGGGGGGGAAAATGCACAATCAGACTGCCTCTTCCCATTTCTTTCTCTTATTTCTCGGCTTGTTCTCACCCTTAAACTTGCCGGCACTTGTGAACTTACCCTTGAACTCTTTGAGCGCCGGGTGAAAAAAGAAGACGAGCTGTAAATGGTGCCACGCCCACCACTCCCAGCCAGTACATGTGTTAAGTGTGCGCCACTTTTTGAACATTTTAACCATTAGAAGGTTTCTAGTAGCAAGGCAAATAAATAACATAAATAAATTACCTTTGTTATTGCCGGCAATCAAAGAAATAAAATTTGCAAAGCGGAAAAGAGATGGCTATACTGTCGGTTCAAAGTGGGCAGTTATGTTGGCAGTTACTCACACACACATGCTTATATACATCAGAAAAATGCAGGGTGCCCCATATTTAAGTCGGTATGAAACTTTAATGAAGTTTAAATTTAAAATCTTCACTATGAATCTCTATATACCAAAATAGTCACCCTACGCATAAAAATACAGTAATTAAAATAATTTAGCGTTAATTTAAGAAAGTATTTTAAGTTGCTTATGTTTGCAAGCGACATCAAAGATTAAACACCCTGTGTCATCAGTACATATAAATGTACATCTGCCGGCGACAGTTTCGCGCGCTTTGAATAATTCAAAATAAACATTATATTTCATTATTATTTTAATAGGCTTCTGGTGTAACTGTGTCTGATGTCTGCAAGACTACATACGAGGAAATAAAGAAGGACAAAAAACATCGCTATGTCATTTTCTACATTCGCGATGAGAAGCAGATTGATGTGGAGACTGTGGCAGATCGCAACGCCGAATACGATCAGTTTCTAGAAGATATCCAGAAATGCGGTCCTGGAGAATGCCGGTAAGTTTTGAGTAAAGATGTCTGGGCAATATAGTATAGAATCCCCAACAACAACCCTTTTCTTGTCTATGTGTTAAGCAAAAAAAAGGTGTTAAATCCCCTGCTTTTAGCTTACCATAAAGACGAAAAGACGGAGGTTAATAGTTGAATGTCCGAACAGAAAAACCTTTATAATTTACGTTTCATTTCCACAGGTACGGACTGTTCGATTTTGAATATATGCACCAATGTCAAGGCACCTCTGAGAGTTCAAAGAAGCAAAAGCTGTTCCTTATGTCGTGGTGTCCCGATACTGCCAAGGTAGGCTTAGCACCAAAAACTAAGTAAAACTTTGAACTAATTTAATAAATTTTGTTCTGTACAGGTCAAGAAGAAGATGTTGTACTCCAGCTCCTTCGATGCTCTCAAGAAGTCGCTGGTGGGCGTGCAAAAGTACATACAAGCCACTGATCTTTCCGAAGCCTCCCGTGAAGCCGTCGAGGAGAAGCTCCGGGCCACTGACCGCCAATAAACTGTACGAGAACTGTGCATTGCATTTAACAAACAAGGCATGCATGAAACAGCGATGGAAACAAGTATCCTGTTGAGATCGCCAATTTGTATGAGAATTTTCTACATAATTTGTATTTTCAGTAGAAATAAAGAATGAAATATTTAACTTGACAAATACGTATTTCAACACTGAGTGTGGTAAAAATATTGTACCCTTGGATACATTTTATTAGAGTTAAAAATACAATATACTTAAGATGAGAAGTCTAACTTATAAACTGAACATCTAATAGCCATGCTGGATCACTAATGTCTGAAGAACCTTTCGAATCTGGTGGCCAGTATTCAGGCACGATTTCAAGCCCAGCGAAAAGGCCACCGTCAAGATGTCAATTGCGTGTTCCTGCAACAGCACCGACATCTCTGGCAGATTATCGATGGCCGTCGCTGCCACCGAGGAGTTCTCGTCCCGGAGGCACTGAATGTAGGCGTTCAGGGTGCACAGATTGATGTCCGAGTTGCCGGGATTGTGCTTGAGGTGTCTGATCAGGATGATGAAGGCAATGGATCTGATCTGAGCACTTGGCGAGAATATCAGATTGAGCAGACGCTCGAACAGCTCGTTGATAAACACAAACCGCTTGGATGTCAAGCACTCCAGCTCCTGCATTGGACCCAGAACCACATCCTCTGTGTTTGCCTGCTTAATGATCTTGATCAGATCGAGGAAGTGCGGCGAAATGTCCGTGTAGTTCGATCTGCTGTAGGAGCCCAAGGTAAGAACCGCCGAAGAGCCCCTGCTGCCGCCCACATCGATGGGTGTTGGCGGATTTACCTCGATGGCCTCTTCACTGACTACGGGCTTGCTGGCCGATGGCTTCACATCCACGTGCTCGTCCAGGTCGTACTCATACTTCACCTCCTCGTCGTCCAGCTCGGAGGCCGAGTGCGACTTGTGCTGCAGAAGGGCAACTGCCTGGACCAGAACCTGCAGTTTGGCCAGCGAAGTGTACTTGGCAGCCAGCTCCTTGAGGATACCCACGTACTGCTCAATGAAGAGAAGGGCACTTGAGGGATTGTAGTTGATGTAGGCCTGCAGCATCTGCACAAACTTATTTAGCATCTGGCAGGCCTCCTTCACTGAGCTGTGGTGCTTAAAGAAATTGAAGTAACACGACAGTGTATTCTGGATTTCGTTCTTGTACGCGTCCTCGAAGATTGTCGGTTGCAGCAGCTCCAGCGTCCTTAGAATCTGGACGAATCGATGGAAGTGGTGCTCCTCCCGCAAAGCCTTCATACTGATTTGCGCCCGACCCTGCATAATAGAGGACAGAACGCTCAACTGGCGTAGGAAAAGTAGCGGATGAGAGGCAGCCAGCTTGCGCAGAAGTAACTCCGTGTCCGTGGATAGGGTTTCAAAGTCCTTCTTGCCCACCAGACTTCCCAAGCAGGTGATCAGATTATTGGATACTTTGTCAGCCTGACAGCCCTTTAAACTTTGCAGCTTGTAGGCCTGTTCGCCAGTTTTGCTCGGCTTCAGGAACTTTACGCGTGGGTACATTATGTACATCTGTTGCACGACTTGCAATTTTAAGTAGTCCGACACCGCACTGTTCTCCACGTGTTCCATCACCTTGACCATAAGGTCTCTTCGCTTCTCTGTCAGCTTGAACAGCAAGTTCATTCGCGAACAGAGCTTAAAATCGTAGTTTCTGCTGTCCACCTTTATCTCGGAAAGTCCCTCGTGCAGAATAAAGTGGGCAAATGGTTCCAGTTCGGAGGTCTTTAGCAGGAAGAAGGCATCCGGCCGTACGTTCTTAGACATGTACTTCTCGCGACCCTTCCAAAGCTTTGGATTTGTGGTCAGCGCCTCGAAATAGTTAAGAACCGTGGCGTAGTCGTAGTCTCCACGGAATTCCCTGAACAAATACTCTGCAATTCTTTCGATAGTGTCCCAGTTGGTTTGGTGATTGATTAAGGACAGCAGGTAGAACCTAAACTCGCTGCAGGACTTTGAAAACAGGAAGCGCTCCTTCATTAGCTGAGTGGAAACGATTTCGGGATCCACTTCGGACAGCCAGTCGATGAAGAGTCCGTTGTGGAAAAGCTGATCGCTCTTGCTTTTCGCGACAGTCTTACAGTCTTTGGATTGATCGAAGCTTTCGATGATGCCCTTAACGATCTGCTTTCTCGCTAACAAGGCGGTATTCGCCGTAAACTGCTGTTCATATATCTCCCGGGAATTCCTCAGCATAAACACTAGGCTCTCGTGATATAACTCCGTTTTCTGTAGCAGGCTGGAATCGGTGAAATTGTGCTTAAAAATACTGAAGTTCTTTTGCAGAGTGTTCTCTAGCATGTGGTAATTATCGCTGTGCAGCATGCAACTGAAGAAGGTTCTCAAAAAAGTGCATGCATGTCGACTCATAATAACATCGCAACCCATGGCCATCACTTCGGTTATGGCGGAGACCAGATCGTTTCGATTGCTACTCGGGTTGACCAGCATGTCCAACAGTTTTTGAATCAAGGATCGACAATCACTTCTTGTTACGGTCAAGTGATCAGGCTGCGTGAGAATGGTTTGGGTCACCTCTTTGGTTGCCATAAAATCGCTGTGACTACTAGTAGTCTCAGAGGAATCGTAGTCACCTATTTCCACGGTCTCCTGGATCACCACACTGATTTTGGGCAGATCCGGTACAGTTTGCGAGTGGGAATGCAGGTCAAGCGCCTGGACGGTGTAGTGTCCATTCTTTGCGCCCCGTGCCTGCTGAATCTCAATAAGCTGAGCCAGATACGCCTTGTTGAGAATGGCATTCTTCACTAGATCGAACTGCTCCAGCACAGCGGTATCCAGCATGGCCAGCAACTTGGACATCGAGTTGACAGGGGTGCCGAAGTTTTGGACAAATAGCACAATCTGATCAGGCGTCAAGTCGTTCAGCGCGGCCTCAATTAGTCTGTCCACGGAGGAGCGGATCATCTTTAGTTTCAGCCAGTCGGGCAGCAGTTGCACCTGTTCTTGCGGCATGCTAGGCAAAAAGGCCACAGGCGCCGGTCGTCCGGGCGGGAACCAATAGTCCAAAATTGGGATAGACTCCGGCATGTTGCTGTTCGAATACGTGAGCAGGATAATGAAGGCGTGAATGATGTTTATGTGTAGGGGCAACTGCACTCCGTCGTCAAACTGGACCATCAGCAAATCCGGGTATTCGGTCCATTCGTACGGCTCATGGTACTCCCTCAGCTTAATAATATAGTTATTAAACATTACAAAGAGGCATTTTAGTGTTTGAATGCGGTTCTCGTCGGGCACATAGTCATAATCCTCCTGAGAAATTATAATGTGCTGGAACATTGTGCTGCGCTCCACAATCAGTTGCGCCATATCGATCACGTGATCCAGCATTTCATTCACCGGATCGTTCAGCGTATGCGCCGTTATGAACTGGATATAAGCCATAATCAATTCCGGACAGTTTTCCACTTGGCATGCAGCCCGCAACTGGGGAATAATGAAGGGTTTAACCTCAAAGAAGTGGGGAATTTGTTGGATCGACTTCAATAGCCACTCGTTTTCAAAGTCCCCCGAGTGCCTGAAAATTATCTTCAGGCCCGAGAGAGCAGCTACTCGCGATTGTTTGACCGTGGAGGATAAGCGCCTGAATATGTAGTCCAACAGCTCGCAAACGATTTGGTGGCTTAGATTCCCATCAAATATCAAATTTCGCAGAAAGTTAACCAGCTCAGCATCGCGACTGTTTTCCTCGTTTATGATATGCGCATTGAAGAGCAGGAACTCACAAAGGCACTGCACAGGGAGGTGGCTGAAGTCGCCCTCGCTGTTCTGAACCAAGTCCGAAAGCCAGGGCATAGATTGCGTAGTGCCCTGCCTTTGGATTATGTCCAACAGCAAGTCCGGTTTGCGGCAGCGACAAAACAAGTGACCGAGCTTATAAGTCTGGTTTAGGAACTTAAGCTGGTCCAAAACCATGGACGGCACCTTGCGCGGCGTGCCCATGGGGTCCATTAGCATGAGCTGGGTAATCAGGATCGCCGTCTCCTCGGTGATAACTGCATGCGGCGATGTTTGGGCAGCCAAGTACGTTTCGAACTGTAAAATGTGGTCTCTTTCCACTGTGATTATCTAAAAAAAAACTCATTACAACATAAGCACCCATTTATTTATTCAAAATTTTACCTGCAACTCATCCTTGTTGGCTGTCGAATTGTTAAACTGATTGGTAATGCATATTTCCATCATCATCTTCATTGTGGGATAGTGGTCCCAGCAAAAGGCTCCAAAAGAGGATGGATTGTGCGCGGATATCATAAGCAAAATGAGCCAGGCCTTCCAGTAAAACGCAATGATGGCAAGCTTTGGGGGCTCATAATCTGAGGGCAGCCGAATATTCTCCGGATGATGGTACTCAGACATGCTAAACAGAAAGTCAATAATGTCAAATTTGTTGGCCTGCACTGCCGGTATATTGGTGGCCTTCATCCCAGAAACTCGCTTAATGACCAGCAACAGGACATCGAAGGTGTTCGCGATGGAGAAAGGAATATCCTTGGTGATGCCAATCAATATGATGCGCAGCAGGGTCTCCTCGTGAATCGGCGTCTCGGAAATGATCCTGAGGATGGCTCCTCGCTCCGGCTCTGAAGGCCACTGATCGCAACGCGAATACTGCTCCGGGCTGTCCAGCAGCAGAAGCTTATGCAGTGCCTGGTGATATTCGGCGGCCGGAATCTTGAAGACAGTAGGCACTGTTTCGTACATCCAAGACACAGTGTCCAGTTGAATCTGCGACATCTGATTGTATAGCTTAAGCAGCGCGTGGTTGTTCTTCGTATCCCGATTCGTTTTTAGAGACAAACTGGCTTCCCTAGCCTGCGGCGTGGCCGACAGAAACATGCAGAGGCACACAATGTCCACCATGGAGTGGAAAATTCTCTCCTTAAACTCGAACATTTCGATTTGCGGTGTGAGGTCCTCGCGCTCGCTCAGAAATGTCTTGCAAAACTTGACCAGGTTTACATCAAAGCGCAGCATTCGCACAAGTTCTCTCAAAAAGACACGCAATGTCCGGAGGCAGTCATCCCGTTGAAGCAAAAACTCCTGGTAAATTTCAGCCAGATTTGCAGCAGATTGATCAGAAGACGTTTGAAACATGGTAGCTGTTACAGTTTAAATAATAAATTAGTAATGAATATGATTCTTAAAAAAAGGTTTTATTTAAATACCAAGCATTCCCATATTGTTCGGGTTCCTGGTGTTAGACAGCTCATTTTGCACGACTAGTTTCATCACAGTGCTCAGTATGTCCGGCTGCAGATATATCATCTCCTTGAGGCACGACATATAGTGATTTATCAGCGGTTTTGTTTTAAGCCGCATCTTCACCAGAACCAAGAGCACCTCGTTGTCCTGAGTGTTGCGTCCCTTAATGTTGAAACAAATGTATGAGAGCAATTGCTGGGCGAACTTAACTAGTTTTCCGTTGTGAATCCACAGCTCCAGTCGCGAGATGCTCAGACATCGAACCTCTGGAATTCCGGAAGTGGTGCAGAGGAACTTCAAAAAGTTCCTAGTGTAGTTATCCTGCTGCTGGCGCTTGTTGAGTTGATCGCGAATAGCATCGCTAACATGCTTCTGCACTACGGCATCGTTGTATCTGGGTTTAACAGCGCACATGGCATCAGAAATAGGCTCCGATTCAGCATTCAGCGGACTGGCATCGAGGCTTTGTGTGGAATTGTCCCCGGAATCGTCGTCCACGGTCATGCTATCCCTGTGCGCCTGTCCTGTGGGAAGAGCCGTGCTCACATCCCACCGGAGCAGACTTATGTGTGGAGTGCGGGTCTTGAAAGCGGCGCATATGTTTTTTACCAACGGAGCACACAATTCGTTATCCGCCCAATAACGCTCGTTGACCGCATCGTCTATATAGGCGCGTAGGAGTATCTCCGGCCACTGCGATATGTCCACAAAGCCCCTGGTCAGCAGGTTGGCAAACAGGATGTGCAGGTTAGTGTTGTACCTCATTTTTACATTGGCTTCTCGTCGGAGAAAGGACAAGAGCGCGCAGGCCACGATATCCGTGCAGAATATAGCCGGCTGCAGCTTTGCCACATAGATTAGGGCCAGCAGGACTATATTGTCCACCTTCGAGCGCGATGAGCTCGTCGTAGTCTGTTTTATAACGCCACAGACCAGCCGGCCCACAGTTTCGCTATCATTCTGCTCCAGGGCCGCGTATATAGTTTCGATAACGCTTTCCAGATCGCAGTCGATGGCGAACTGTTCCCAGGTCTCGCACTGGCTGCTGCTTGACATGTCCGTGGTGCCCGCATCCTTCATGTTGCCCCGGAATCGCTTGCTTGAGCTGGCCAACGAGGATGAGGCTTCCCGCTTTCTGTCCGACGAAGATATGGCCTTGATGGGCATGATCTTGGATTTGGAGTCATCGCGAACGCTTTTGGTTCCGAGGGCAAAGAGTTCTCCGCCCAGCGGAACCTTCTTTTGGGATCTATTCGATCCGCTGCCTTTGCCGCGGTCCATTTTTTAGCAGATTACAACGAAGGCAGCAAAGTGTGACCGACCTTCTTTAGGCTAAAAATCTTTTACAGATGTATTAACGCATTGTGGGCGTCAGCGCAAGACTCTAATTTGAAACAATGGAAGTGTTGAAACAAACTTTATTTAAGAAAATAAACTAATTTTAACCTTATTAACTATATTGTTATTAAATAATTGACCCATTTAACTAATATCCTGCATTTATAAGCATCTTAATACATATTTTTTATGGCTGTTCTATAGTACACATATTGCACTCGTGCCCTTCAAGGCTTTCCCGTTAAGGTCACACTAAATATTTCTTAAATTGTTTACAAATTTAAAGACAATAGATCATATGAAAAGTTGCGGTATAAACTCTAAATTAAAACTAACAAAGCAACATGTTTCTGTCCATCGCACCGCCTTTGATGGATTTCGAAGACGAACTAATGTGGATAAATCAGTCAAACAGCGAGAAAGTGGAGATTTTATATGACAAATCCAACTACGTTACTCCCAATACAAAACACCTCATCGAACAGGCATTTCTTCAGCCACTAAGTCTGCAGGATCAGCACATTTTGTTTGATGATTTGCTAAAACAAAACACGGACATCGCACGCCAATATGGACTGACTCCGGCCAAAGTAAGTTGCTAAATTGCAGATCTATGTACATATTTAACCCCAACCGTCTCCTTTTATAGCTACCTCTACTAGTTGAAAACAATCCACTAATTTCCATTGAGATTTTATTAAGACTGATGATGACCACCGATATAACAGAGTATTTCAACATATTGGTTAATATGGATATAACGCTGCACTCCATGGAAGTGGTTAACCGGTAAAATTCCACAAGTGTCATCATCTAAAAACCCTGTTAATGTACATCTTTTGTTTCAGATTAACCACATCGGGTCCATTGCCTACAGAGTTTATCCACTTATACATAAGCAATTGTATCTCGACCTGTGAAACAGTTAAGGATAAGTACATGCAATCCCGACTTGTGCGGCTGGTTTGCGTATTTCTTCAGTCATTAATTCGAAACAAGATTGTCAACGTTAAGGTATGTTCCCTTACCATTTTAGGGCTATAATTATTACTTAAACTTCTGTTTTCCAGGAATTATTTATTGAAATCGAAGCTTTTTGCGTTGGTTTCAGTAAGATCAAGGAGGCGGCCGCCTTATACCGTCTTATCAAACACTTGGAAACTGGAGAGAGTGCTCTTTCTTCAAATTCCCTATCAAAGTAATAAACTGGTGTCTTGTTATGGTCAAAACTATGTTGATAAAGAGGCAAACTAATAAGAAAACACCCGATGTACATGTAAAACAAATTCGCATTTAATAACTTAAGTATCTAGTGTAGAGTTGTGTGTTTTATGAGTGAGTGTTGTTGGTCGCCTCGCTGGTATGAAAGTAGAGTTGCTCGGACGAGGGTTTGGGGAATCGGCTTAAATAGCGTTCAAGTCTTAAGAATTTAATCGAAATTAGGCGCTTGTCGAACCACCAGCCGTTGATTTCGTTGTGAATCATGCCGGCGTCCTCCTCACTGGCGCATCGGATGTACACGCAGCAGGACTGGATGTCCAGCTGGACATCACAGATCTTGCAGCGAGACCCAACCTTTTCGATGATCGACTCCACGATAGACTGCTTCAGGTTGGCTTGATCAACTTCTGAGGAGTCAAACATGTGCCGTATCTTCAGGCATGGCGTCGGTGGATTGGCAATCTTGTTGGAGTTATCGAAGGCGGGACTCTGCCACTTCTTAACCAGGCCCGGATCCTTTTTGTCCAGATTCCTGTTCCACGCAATCGTGCGCATCGCCTTTCCATCCCGATTGACCATTCCGAACAACACACGGCTGTCGCTCTTCTCCAGCTGCTTGAGGGCCTTGTTCCAAGAAGACAGGTGCTTAGAGCGCTTCTTGGCAGGCAAAAACTTTTCCTGCAGCTGGCTTATAATCACCTCGGGACTCTCAGACTGGGAACTTAAGTAGATCAGCTCATTGATTATGTCCTTTGAGAACTGGTCGACCGCCAGCAGGGCTTCCTTTTGTTTGAGTCGGTAAATTACCACCGCAAAGTAGACGACGAGGAATCCAGCTACTATTAAAATAAGCGTACCGATTACTGTGAAAAATCGGGTCATCTTTTTCATTAGAATGCACTTGAGCGGCAGATTCGGTTCGGAGAGCTCAAAATATGAGCCCTGACCGATGTGATTTGAGGAATCCACTACTTGAATACTCCACTGTGGATTTTCGGCAATAAGATATTGTGCAGCCAACAGGTTAGTGTGCAGATTTCCCCTGTGGGTTTTCGGGCTGCTGACCATTTCCCTCACAAACTCGCCAACTTCAAGGGTGGCCGGTAAACTAGCATCTTTGCAGTGATGGAGCCTGGCTCGCTCGTTTAGATGCTTGAAAAGCTCCTCGCTTAAATCCAGCGCACCGCTCAGCGAATCTTTTGCTATGCAATTTGTCTTTTCGCTGATCATTTGCAATTCGTTGGGGTTACATAATGTATACTTCAGTGTCGTTTTGTCGATAGGACTCTGCTCAAACCTTTTGCCCACATACAGAACAGTGATTATTGTCAGAAATATTAAGAACAGCGAAATGAGCACTTGTGGTATTACGTAGGGTCTGATATCGGGGTTTTTAAAAAACGATTTGAGGTCTGACAAAGCGAATCGAGGAAGTCTTTCGTTTCTTGGGAGCATTCTCGTCGCCTGGGGTGTTGAATAGTTAAATTTCCGCTGGATTGTGGTATCGCGAAAGCTGAGCAGTCTGTTTACTACGCCTCCATCAGATATCTTAACCTTTCTTATTGGTTTTGCAAAGCTATTCGTGTCAATGGCGTACTGACTGGCGCATTGCTGTCGGAATTTGCCATTTAAGCCCAGGCTGTGGGGCGAGCAGTCGCCATCGTAGTTGGAGGCCACCACAGGTGGCGGGGCGTACATCTTAGAGGCAGACAACTGTAGCGGACTCGAGTCGTTCTCGTCGAAACTACGATTGAAAACCAAGGAGCTGCGACTCATCTCCAGATCGTTATTGTTGTCCAGGCCATTGGCGTAGCCAGGAAGAGGGGGGGCGTGGAAGTGGGGATACTGCGGATATGGCGGCGACTCCGTCTGCTCCTTGGAATATAGCACGTACTTGTTGCTCCGCTTTTTCAACTTGTCCGCTCGGGTGTGTTTCCTCAACTTCTCAATTAGAACCGCTCGCGTTGTTTCCGTCACTGGAGTGCTGGGAAAGCCGCTCTGGATTAGCTTTCTGTGTAACTCCTTGTCACTCAAACTATTTAGGCTTTCAGTTGACATTTTTCAACGATCTGCAAAAGGTACAAAGATGTTTAAAATGTATGAAACGTACATTGCAACATATGTATATGCATACACAGGAATGTGCATATATAACTGCATAGAAAAGCACATTTTCACAAGTTTTTGAAAAAGGCAGGCGGTTTTTAGTTAATGTTCGCCGATATAACTATAGCTAGCTTTCCTCAACCCCTTAATATCAAATAATCAAAAAACTGTTTATAATTCAACAAACATGGGGAAATGTGCAAAATAAATGGCGTTTAAAGAAAACATACCTACACAAATACACTGATACAGAAATGTCCAACAAGTGAGCGCATCACACAAGATGTTCAAGGTGCAACAAGGCGGTAATTACATAAAAATAAAATAAACTACAGATTTTTAAAGCAACAGTCTTACAACCATATTTTGATTACAAATTAATACGGCACATACTAAATTATTAAGTCAAGGGTGCGGCGCGAGCCAAAATAAAATGAAACTGGAATGAAACAGAAAAGTGATATACCTTGTGCACTCACGACATCGGATCTAAATATCGATATACTTTTTATTAATTAAAAATAAGAAATAAGCAATTGTTATTGTAAAATTTAAAAACCTTAAACATTAACCTGAAATAAAATCGTAAAACTAATTACTAATAATTAAAAATAATTAATTAATAATTATTATTACAAATTACTATTACTAACAGAAATAAATTCATAACGTGAAAAGCTAAGGTCAGACCTTTCGTTCAGTTAAATTATGTTGACAGTTTATTATTTAAAACTTATTATAAATAGCTTACAATAACTAAAATTGAATTTTTTTTTGTTATTTATGGTATGAATTTAAATTTAATAATAATTTAAACTCTCGCTCTTGGATTAGCCAAACATTCGTGTTTCTCCCCAACTGTTCCACAAGCAACATTTTCAACGCTTGCTACCATATCTATCGAAATTGGCTATTTGGAAAGCGATGGCAAAACTATCGGTGGAGGCCAATCAGTTTTCTTAAATTGTAGATACATTTATATGTGTTTGTGCTTTAAGAATTAAAAAATTGTATGCCTTTTGCAAAGGTGCGTATACGGAAGCTACCTGCCCGCAATTAATTGCGAATTATCCGGCTCTCTGCATCGTTTTCCATTTTGAAGTGTGAATGGGCCGTGAAAAGTGTGTGTGTGTACACACATATTTTGTAAATGCAGTGGGACATATAGACAAGTCAAGTGCATACACATACGCACAGTGCCACCATATAAATATACCGAACTGAAACAGAAATTGCCGAAATAATGTGCAGAATCTAATGCATTTCTCTCTGGGATTACAGGCCGATGCGAATGCCCGATACAACTGACCACAGGCATGAATCGTAGGGGTTTAAACACTGGCAATACGATGACTTCTCAAGCGAACATTGACGATGGCAGCTGGAAGGCGGTTTCCGAGGGCGGATCTATGCTGCCCGCGTCCAATTCGGCGGCCCTGAATCCGGACGGGAGCAACCAGAGTGGCTTTGCGCAGGGCGGCCTGCCGTACAACTCGGGCGGCAATCCCTATCCGCCCGCCGGCCAATCCTCGCCAGCCGGCAACCAGTCCATCGTGTTCCAGAATTCCAACCAGCCTGGCTCGAACACACCTCAGTATACCTCCTCACCTGCTCCCTCGGGCTCATCGACACCCGGACCTGTTGGTGCGCAGAACATTCCCGGCAACTATCCGCAGTCGGCGACGGCGGGCAACTTCAACGGCCCGGTTGGCGGACCTTTTGGCTCTCCATCCTCTGGACTGGGACAGTTTAGCCGGCCGGCCAGCTCGGGCACACCGTTCAACAGCGGCCAGGCCGGGCACTTCTCATCGCCCACGGTCTTCGGCGTTGGCGGGCAGTTCAATCCAATGCCACCGGCGTCACCATTTGGCCACGGAGGCAATCACCCCATGATGGGCGGCCCGCAGCAGATGGAGCGCATCGATCAGGGCTTCAGGCGGCACAATTCCTACTTTAGTCACACGGAGCATCGAGTCTTCGAGCTGAACAAGCGGCTGCAGCAGCGCAACGAGGAGAGCGACAACTGCTGGTGGGACTCATTTACCACGGAGTTCTTCGAGGACGACGCCCGGCTGACCATACTGTTCTGCCTTGAGGACGGACCGAAGCGGTACACCATCGGACGCACGCTCATCCCGCGCTTCTTCCGCAGCATATACGAGGGCGGCGTTTCGGATCTGTACTTCCAGCTGAAACACGCCAAGGAGTCGTTCCACAACACGTCCATTACGCTGGACTGCGACCAGTGCACGGTGATCACGCAGCACGGCAAGCCCTTTTTCACAAAGGTGTGCGCCGATGCAAGACTGATCTTGGAGTTTATGTATGACGACTACATGCGCATAAAGTCGTGGCACATGACCATCAAGGGACACCGCGAGCTCATTCCAAGGTCCGTAATCGGCACCAGTTTGCCGCCCGATCCGATGCTGCTAGATCAAATCACCAAGAACATCACACGGGCTGGCATCACCAACTCCACCCTCAACTATCTGCGCCTGTGCGTCATTCTCGAACCGATGCAGGAGCTGATGTCGCGGCACAAGGCGTACGCTCTAAGTCCGCGCGACTGCCTAAAGACCACACTGTTTCAGAAGTGGCAGCGCATGGTGGCCCCGCCCGGCAAGAAGGATCCGCAGCGGCCGCCCAACAAGCGGCGCAAACGGAAGGGCTCCAATTCGGGCGGCGGCAACAATTCGAACACGCCGCCCGTGACGAACCAGAAGCGCTCCCCCTCCGGCCCCAGTTTCTCCCTGTCCTCTCAGGACGTGATGGTGGTTGGCGAACCTACGCTAATGGGCGGCGAGTTCGGCGAGGAAGACGAACGGCTGATCACACGGCTGGAAAACACGCAATACGACGGAACCAATGCCGTGGAGCACGATAATCACACCGGCTTCGGGCATGCGGACTCGCCCATCTCCGGCTCAAATCCGTGGAGTATCGACCGGGCGGGAGCCATCCCGGCCAGCCCTGGGAACGGGGCTGCCCCGCAGAACAACGCGAATATATCTGACATAGACAAAAAGAGCCCCATTGTATCGCAATAGAAATTAATAAAACATAATATTTCGCTATATTGTCAAATGTATTTTCATACTTGCATGTAAAAATATTTAAATAAAGCTTTCAAGTTTTAGGAAATGTATATAAGACATACATACATATTAAATCTATATAATTGTACTTTAAGTCGTCTATTCTACACACTATCTATTATATAATTGTAGCGTAGGATATTTCTGTTCTGTCTTTGACTGCCTTGCAAAGTACTTAATGTGTTGTTTTAGTAAAACATAACTTTTAAGCACAACGCAAAAAAAACATTGAAAGCTATTTATTTACATGTCATTATATGGAACAGCAGGTGCTGTCTTACTTTATGGGTTTTTTCTAGGGTTTTGCTGTTAATCATGGATTGCCTGTTAATATGCGAAATTAATGAAATTGACAAAAACAACAGTAAAGTTTATCTATATTTTTATGGGTATCGCAACAAGGTAGAGTATTTGCATGGGATATAAGTCCACCACAAACATCTCATGAGATGACATAGCTCCCTATTTCGCTGGGATTATTATCGCATTATTTACCGATTCCATACCAACCCTACCCATGATTTTATCAAGTCAAGCTCCTTTGCGCATGCACGAATATCTATATCTACAGATACAGATACACAGTTTCTGCTCCATATTCAGTCACGCGTTCAAGAAGGAGATATGATATTTCTAAATAAAAACCGAGTGCTTTCTTTGGTCCTTAATTTTCTTTTCTTAATCATTCTAATTTCATCGAGTGTCCACGCAGATGAGAGAAACATAAACAAGCTACTGAACAACCAGGTTGTGGTCAGCCGCCAAATTATGTGCATACTGGGAAAAAGTGAATGCGACCAACTGGGGCTACAACTCAAAGGTATTAAAAAAGGCAACCTATTTGATATTGCATTTAATATTAAGAAATGGCATTGCCTTGGCAAAGAACTTAGTCGTTTCAAAATTTTAATTGATCACCATCTTTAAAAACTGCCCAAACTTGAAATTAATCATTTTTATTTACTTACAGCTGCCCTGCCAGAAGTTATTACCAGAAAATGCAGGAACTGCTCCCCACAACAGGCTCAAAAGGCGCAAAAGTTGACCACATTTTTACAAACTAGATACCCGGACGTTTGGGCAATGCTTCTAAGAAAGTACGATAGTGCCTAAATATGGCAATTTAATGTTCTTCTCATGCATCGAATATAATAAATTAGTCTCGACATCATCCTCGGCATTTGGTTTTTTTTTTAGGGGTTAGGGTATTGAAAGGGAAACCGCCCAGCTACTAATGAAATAACACAGATTTAAACACATGAATGTATTTTACACCTTATTCTTACATAAAATCTAAAAGTACGTCTTTAAAGGGGCCATCATTTACTATGACTCTCTAGAAAAACTGTTGCATTGTCGACGCCCAAAAACTGGTGTATACTTAGCGTAGACAGCATTTTCATCTGACCCTGATAAAGAACATCGGCGATAATCTTCTCTGCATATATAGCCTGGGTGCCGTCCATTGAGCGCAGTTTGTGGGCGATGATTTTCCCGAAATTCGAGAAGTGGTCGTCCAGCTGACTGTCCGCACTTTTTAAAGCCAAGGAAAAGAGTCGCTCAAAGTCAATGGTAGAAATGTCTGCCCGGAATTTCCCGGCCGGCGGTTCGTTATCCTCCGAAACCTGCGAGGAGACAGAGGAAGATCGTTTCCGGATTATGTGATTGGGTTTCTGGATCTGATTGTGGTTCGATTTTGTCTGGTTTTGGGCCATTATGCGTTTGCAAGGCGATTCGGAGTCGCCGGAAGGGGACTTAATCGAGTCGGGAACGGATTTTCTGCGGCCGGACAACAGTCTATTGTTAGCAGGGACTACGATTTCGACCTCCTTGATGGTGGCGCCACCAGCATGATTGTTTGCATTGACATTGACTGTCTTAATACTGATAACGGGGTCAGCAGCGGCCTCCTCGAAGATATTGGCACAGAATTCGTTGGCGCTGTTGTTGGGTGACAGTTTGCTTGTGTCTGCCGACGTTTTCGGGGGCTTGGGAAGACTCTCGGCATCGGAGAACTCGTCGCAATTCTCTGGTTGCACTAGCTGCACCGCGCTATCCAAACATCCCGCCTGCTCGCGCTTGCACTTCTTGTCCGGGATCTCCTCGTCCTTTAGGAACATCAGGGACTCAAAGTAACGTCGTTTTGGGCAATAGGGTTCGTATTTTTCACCCTTTTTCTTGACTTCGTTGTATTTCCTTAACTGATGACGAAATGCACACCGTAGATTGTTTATCTTTTGCTTTGTTCGCTCTACATTGTACATTTCTCCATGCTTGGTGGCGACTTCTATCAGTTTCGCATAGGCCTCCTGCCGCCGACTGCGGTTCCTGAAGTCCGCCGAGTCCGCTTTCCACAGGCACGGATTGCATTTATATTCCTCTATGAAATCGTCTATAAAGTCCATTTTTGTTTACTAAATGAAAACTGTAGTCCACGGCCCCTAGTGTATGTTTGTATCCATGTGTGTGGCATCAATAACTATCGTTCTATGGTTGGAACGAACGGAGTGGAAACATAAAATGGCCTGGGGCTGTACTACACGGCTGAATTTCAGTATACCTAGCTAATACCAGTTGCTAATTTTATTTATTTCAATGCCGAGCTTTTGTAAAATAGAATATATTTTATGTAAAATTATTAATATTGCAAAACTTTAAAAACAAAATCTATAAAAAAAATTGCAGTTTAAGAACGAACGAAAGTAAATTTCTTCTTTTGAATTGCACCTTTTTAGTATAAAATTTCGTTTTAAGTCGCTGTGCAAAACTAAAAGTATATTTTGAACAAGTAAAAATATAGTAAATTTTCATAGTAAATAAGTCATGCTGCGTTCTAGTGATATCAGATATTGATATTTCATAAAAAAAAAAGATGAGCAACTCTGTTTAAAAACGATTTATTAAACAGCTGACGAACATTTAAGGAATGCCCTAGATATATAAGGTATATAAAATAAGAATAGTTTACAAAGTATATTTTTGAGAGCCGGTCAGTATATTTGTTTGAGATTTCTGGTCACACTGTAACGTCCAACCCAGAATTACTAGTAAACATTTTAATAAATAAAAATGAGTGGGGCTCACAGAGAGGCGATTCAAAAGCAAATCCATCAGGACTGGGCAAACAGGGAATACATTGAAGTAATAACTGCCAGCATAAAGCGAATTACAGACTTTCTGAACTCTTTCGGTAAGTAAAGGCTGTCGCACCCACATTTATTCGTATATATACGTACATATGTGTTAGTGTGTTTGTTCGCACTTTTATTTATGAACGAATGAATATTATTGCTAACAAATCACATACATTTGCCATTGACTTTATTTACTCTAATTGTAAGTCAATAAAAAACAAACACAACTTTTGGATATTATGTACATATACTGGAGAAGTGTGTATAAAAAGTAGGCCTCAAGGCAGTCGGTGTTTATCTTTATCCGGATTACTCATTAAAATTAAGTAAATGTTATCTGTTCCTTTATGAATAACTTGGTACTGTGATAAATAATAAATAAACGGATGTTGAATTCGGCAAGTCATGCAAATACAGATCAATGGTTACTGTTCCTATGAACAGATAAGTAAATAAAAAAAAAAATAAATATTTTATGTCAGTAGTTTTTTAATAAGTTTTTTAAATGGTATGATACATGTCTGAATTAACTAGTTATGGAGAGCAGGAATAACATATATATTTTATATGATCTTCTTTTCTGCACTACAATCTTCTGATCCACATTTAATATTTCCTGAAAAAAGGGTATACCAAGTAATTTTTACAAGCTGAAATAATTAATTAACTTCACTAAAAATAAACCTTCATTTTGTAATATACTAGTTATATTATATATATTTTTATTTAGTTCTTCTCATATTTTATTTCATTAGATACCATAAAACCATCTATTTTTCGCACTCACTTAAGTAAACTATAAAATATTTGATATTCTGAGATACCATATCTTTACTATCATATATTTTTACCAATTTTGATTCTGCTATCATAGCTCAACTAACTTAACTTTGTCCTCCTTTCAGATATGTCCTGTCGCTCCCGTCTAGCGGTTCTAAATGAAAAACTAACGATCCTTGAGCGGCGCATTGACTATTTGGAGGCGTGTGTCGCCCAGGGGGAAACATTAACGTAAAAGCACTAGAGTTCTGCCCTCAATTTTAATCTAAGCTTTGTACATTTATAAGATAATTAAAAAATACTGATATAATATTTAATTCTTTCTTTTGTTTACGATGTGAATTTGCCGTGACATTAATAATTTGTAGTACATTGTTTGCTCTTTGAAGGACGGTAATTCATGGTTGAGTTATTTGCCGGCCATTGGATTCGTTTCATTGCCCCCTTCAAGAATAATATAAGTAATAACTCTGAAGCAAGACGAACACGCGATATTTTTGCCAACTAGTCGTTGCTGCCTTTATTTGTAATGCTAATGCAAATTAGCTTGCGGAATAGAACCCGTAAATTAAGGTCTAGACGTAATCTTGTGACTGAGTTGTTAAGAGTTTAATTGTTTTTATAGTAGTCATCATCAAGTTAATTCGAGACTGGGCTAAATTGTCGCTTTTAACAAATTGATTGATATGCTTTCTGTCACTTAAAAAAAAACCCCATTCGAGAACTATTCCATAAGCGTGGAGTACAAAACAAATCTCTTTATTCGGCGCACGATCGTAAAAATAATTTTGATGAACAGATGTACATAGACCTAATTAACAATGCATATAACAAATTGTTTCCGGGTTTTTCGGGACGGAATAGGGAGTTACACCTTGATTCCGGACTCAGCGGCAGTGGCGCGATAGCGCTTGATATAGATGTCCTCGGGATCGAACTTGGCCTGCAGCTGCTTCCACTCCTCCGGCTTATTGTCGATGATATAGCGGATGACCTTGTCGGTGTTCTGACGCTGCTTCTCACTGCACTTGCTGCACTCCGTCTTCAAGGCATCCGGCAGGGACTTCTTCAGCTCCCGACCTTCCGGAGTGCACTTTCCAGTGTCCACCAGGCACTTGAAGTAATTGCCAAACAAGCGGTCCGACTTCAGGATCTCGTCCACATCGATGTTGTCGTACTTGGTGGTGTACTTATCCTCAGCGGCGACTAGGACGAGTCCAAGGACGAAAAGCGCAAATAGCATCTTCATTTTGAGGTTTGCTATAGGTAAAGTGGGTAAAAACATTCATCATTAATCATCAATTTTTTGGAATAGATTCATTAGTGGGTCTCTTGATCGTTAACCAGTTTTTTATTCGGGGATTTTAATAGACTATGTCAATGGAAATATTTTTACTAGCTACTGCATTTGCAAAATGTGTCTATTAGATATTTATGCAAATTAATGCATGGCAAACGCCACTTTGTATGCGTATCTGAAACACATTTATTGACTCAAAAAAGATGTCACTGTTTACACACGATAAAACTGGTTGTACGACTCATTTGCCTATGAATATGTTTGGATAGCCAATTCGATCAGCACCAAAACATATGAACGATGGTCTTACAATGGAGCTCGACTTAAAAACGACTCGAAGTAGATGTGTAGCAATGCAGCTGCTGGAACTAACTGAGAAATATTTCTATGAAGTTGGCTTTTATACCTGGGCAAACTTGCGATTGAACTTCAAGTGTAATACACACATCGCATTGTAAGCCTGTATTCGGGCTGAGTTCGTATCCATATAGGATTGCACACACTTTAGACTTTGAAGCGTAAATCGCTATTGCTGAAAAGTCAACCCAGTGATTAGTCAATCGTCGTTATAAATTTATATAATATATATGGGATAGTTATACATACTTAATTTGACATTAATGTTAGACAGGTGACGTCTGTGTACTAAATGGCGATCGATTGCTGGTCTGCGAGGGATTCGCAACAACCATTTACGGGCAAACATAGTAAAAATTTATTTCTTATTCAAATTTAACGATCTCATTAACGATTCCCATTAGCGATTTCTCATTTTTTTTACTAGAGGTGTGTGCAAAATGACCCTTCAGTATTTGCTCTTAAGTGATCACTTTAATAGTTCCCGGAACAATTAGAATCTTTCCATTAATCCTCAATTCAAATGTGAGTCAGTCAAGCCCACTATATTCCAGAAGCTAAGTACAGTATAGTCCCACCGGAAAACAATTAAATGTTGTCTACAGGTAACTCTTAATTTGTCGTTATTGGTTTTTTAAAGTATCCGTAAATCATTATACCCAAACATTAGGTTATACTAAAGATTTTGCATAAAATATAATTGTTTTTTGTTAAGTTTTATTGTAGTTACAAATAGTGAAATGTAAAAAGTAACAAACACTTATACATTTTAGAAATCTGTACAAGGAAAGTAGTCGACCTGTACACCTTCTTGAGTAATGGTAATTTTGTCTATTTAGGATGCCTAGATGCAACTTTAACTTTAGGCTTAAAAGTTGTGTGTGTGTGTCTCAAAAGTAAATTGTCAGGAGGCAGTTAGTAGTACTCGATCATTGCGCAGGAACAAATCATAATTGAATCTGAGCAGGACGTTTGCGTTGGAATATAGTTTCGATGGTGGAGAAGACGTCGCTGGACTTCTTGGCGGCGTCAACCTTGAAGTGCAGTCCTCGCAGGCCGTAGTAATCGACCAGGGGCCTCGTCTGCTTGTGATATGATTCTAGTCGCTTCTTTAAAGCCTCAGCGTTGTCATCGCTGCGTCGGATTAGAGGTTCTCCGGTTACCTATGGATTATATAAAATCTGTAATTTTGAGTTCTTTTCGAATACCCTATACAGATACTAACATCATCGGTCATGGGCTTTTTGGGAGGGGCGAACTCATCGTGATAGGATCGCCCACTGGCCTGGTGAATCAAACGGCCAGTGATTCGCCTTACCAACAGACTGTCGTCGATGGCAAACTCAATGACAGCATCCAAATTTGCTTTCCTCTTGTCCAGCAGTGTGTCGAGCTGGAAAATACGCGTGGAATAGGTTAAATCAGGGTAAATAAGGAGACATTTTAATAGAACTACCTTCTCAGCTTGAACGACAGTCCTGGGGAATCCGTCCAGGAGGAAACCGTTCTTGCACTCCGGCTTATCCAGGTTGGAGTCGATCATGTCCACCACCAGATCATCAGAGACCAGCTTGCCGGCATCCATGACCTTCTTTAGTTCAGCTCCCAGCTTGGAACCAGATGAAATCTCCGCCCGCAGCATGTCGCCAGTTGATAAATGGCAGACGCAGAACTTCTCCTTTAGCAGCGGAGCCTATAAAATGGACATAATTAAAAACATTGATAAGTTTCAGTTTCAATTTAATCAATTTAGGACCGCTCATATCACAAAGGTTATCTAGCCGCTAGATAAGATGCATTCTTTTTGTGGCTAAGAAAGTTCTAGTAGGCTTTTTATAGCTGGGCTGCATAATACCCACTTGATTGCCTTAAGGTGCCCTCATTTAATTCGTTTCTTTTCGCCAATCATTTAATTTGATTCAGGGTCAAGTAATTTCTTTATGCATATATACCCGTATACAGAGGTGGTCAAAAGTATTTGCACATTTCTTATGAGTAAGTACGTGTGATTTGTGCAAATACTTTTGACCACCCCTGTATGTAGATACAAAACTTCATGTGTATACCATTATATACATAAGTTAACCAGTTTATTAATTTCATTGAAAATTGACTTGATTCTTTCTTATTTAAAAACACGGTCCCGCGCATTTGAACACGTTGTACATATTTATTTATAGACTATATAGCGTCCATGTCACTAAAAACACACATTATGTAACTTTGGACCCACCTGCGTTCCCTTGCCGGAACCCGGCGGCCCCAGAAGAATGGCGTTGATTCCGATGTTTTGGGACTCATATCGCTCCACTGGTACAGCTGCATTCGGCGCCATCGTTTACTATTTATGCTCGACTGATTTTTGGCCACTAATTCATAGCCCAACGGAGCCAAAAATGAAGGTTAAAGATAAGAAACAAGAAGGAGAAATCGGCTGCACGAAACACCCTATACCGTTTTGACCACGAAATCGGCGTGTTCCCACTCCGTTGCTTCTTGCCTATCGATAACAATTGCACAACGTTTATATTGTTTGTATCTTTTTAAAAAAATTAATAGATACAATATATATTGACTATTTAACAAATATTTTTTGATTAATTTGAATAAAAACCTAAGCCCAGCTCACCGAAAACTTTCACATACGTATGTATTTTAATTTAAATGTGTCAACCTATAAACAAAATTAAAGGTCAATAAATATAAAAGGTCAATATTTCAATTTTTGAAAATAGTAAAAATATATATCAGTTCCACTATCTCTTAAAAAGATACCAGTTTTATTGTTTCCCACAAATAATCTTTTCTGAGTTACCCATTTTCAATATTCTGATTACCGTTGGCTTACAAAAATTTAAATAAAGCCATCGCAAAAGGGATATTTTTAATATTACTATAACAATTTTATTTATTCTGGAATACGCGTATTACAGTTGCCATGGTACATTTTAATATTGCCCTCGCACCGGAAATATGCATCGAAAATGTCGCTATAGCCGTGATCCTTCCACCAGGTGCACAGCTGCCTGTTCCAAATGCAGTCCAGTCTGTAGATCAAGTTGGGATATTCGTATCCCAGGAGTGTGAAAAAGTCCTGATCACCGAGATGACCCTTGAAGGAGTATTTGGCGACCAGAGTGTTCACCTCCGAATGGGTCAGCTTCTCCAAGTAGGCCTTTGAGTTCCTTATGCGGTTGAGCAGCAGCAGGACCACCCCAGAATTCAGGCCAGGATAACCGTGATGGATATGACTATGTTGCTGTTCGTTGTTCATCGGATAGTACGGATTGCCAAAACTGGTCTTAGGATACCGTACACGGTAGCGATAAAGGATATGGCGATAAACGGGCGTCAGTTCCGGCGCCAATCCGTAAAGCTGGTGCGGCAGAAAGTGATCAAACTCGTTGAACAGCAGTCGGACATCCGATCGGAAGACTATATCACAATCAAGCAGAATGGCTCTGTTTAAGCTTCTATCGGCTATTCTGTGCAGGCCAAGGGAGAGGAAAAACAGGGAGTCGCTATAGTACGAGTTCGGGGTTGAGCTAAAGAACGGGGACAACTTGGCAGCTATATCTTGTATTATGCTGGAGCAGACCTTAACATCGTAAATGGTGTACAACACCGTCCTCCGGAATCTCCGAATCTGTCGCTGCAGTATCTCCAGCACAGAAGTCTGACTTTCGCTGTCCGTAATCACATGCAAATGCAACTGGGCACTGGTGTGCTTCAACAAACTGTGGGCGAACAGATCGAACTTCAAGTTAAGATGATAGTTTTCTCTGGTGTATATAACGAATATGTTGTAGTCCGAGGAGAAACCATTCAAGTGGGAGCCCAGCTCCAGCTGGGAGGAGGAATAGTTCAGCAGGTAGTGTGTTGGCCTCAAAACCGGAGGAACTACCGGGGTCGTGGCCTGGGTATCTGGGTATCTTGCTGCCTCCTGTTTCTCCGCATGCGAAAGTTTATTAAGCCGACTGGAAAGGAATGCCGACAGGATATTGCCGCGAACCAAGAGATGCGTATTGGCGAAAACGATTAGAACGCACACACAAATAAATATTAGCAACAAAACTAGCTTCTTTTGCCACCTGCATCGCAGCAGGGTCCATGTCCAACTTTTCGGCTTCTGGCGAATTGAGTTCCGACGATTAATGATCAGGGTCACGTTCTCCTGATCCTCCAATAGTTGCGATTTGCACTTCATTCCGTACATATTGAGGTCCGCCGGAAACGTTTTATGTTTCTGACTGATTAAAGTTTTAAAGCTGTTCTTGGCCATTTTGAAATCAGTTACAATGCATTTACATCAACGAACGAATACAAGATCCTTTGTTAGAACACACTAAACGGAAACTCTGAGCAGACAAGTAGAAGCGCACAAAACATTTCGGACTGACTTAAAACTTAATTAAACTAGATCGATAAAGCAAGCACAGCGTAAAAATCAATGCAAGTCGTTTTGGGGCAGTGAGACCGTTATGAGAACCCCAAAATTTACCGAACTTATCGATGCTTGGGGGCGTTTTTAGGTTAAAATATTCTAGTACTTTCAGACTTTGGGAGTTATGTGTTCTCCTAGAACTGGTGATTTCAAAAGTAAAACTTATGTTAAAAACGAATATTGTTTTCAAAAAGAATTTAAATGTATTTATCGATAACTACCGATAGAAGTATCTTAATCTTAATCACTATAAATATAAATCATGCGCAGAAGTAATTTTTTTATCAGTATAAGTACATGTTATGGTTGTTCCAGAGTTACAAAGCTACTGGACTTACGCACTAAGAAAATGTAAAAGTTAGAGCCTTCGACCACGGACTTTCAAGAATTCCACTGGAGACGAGCGTTTTTAATAGCGAAGCAATGGACTGCCATCATCGCATTGAAGTGCCCCTGCGGGCTGGAAAGAAAATGAAGAAACGTCGGGAGCTGGACGCCCTGATAGCCCAGTCCCAGACGTCCTCGTCCAAGAGAGCCAACCGGAGAATCCCTGGCGGAGCCACACATTCCCAGGACAAACTGCTCTCGGTCTCGACCGATGACCCTGAGGATTACGCATGGGTATGGTATTTACTACACTTCTATATTAAGTAGAAGGTTGGCTGTGTTTGTATCTATGTATCTGAACCTGCCGTAATCAACTTTCCAGCTCATGAGTTCTTAAAGATACGTTTAATTTGCCCATCCCATATATTCATCGAACAAAGAAAAAAAAATTTTGATTTTACAATAATATTGCGTTTTTTTCAGACGAATGTCGCTGGTTCTAGTCGCCGTAGTCATCGAAAAATTGCCTACTTCCGCATGTGCGGCCCCCTTTTGTTGGGAATTATTGGGATTTTAATTGTGGCAATTTTGTATTGGCTGTATTTTGATCTACGCCAGCAATTAACTGATTATCGTCAGAAGATCGAGGAGGGTATGTAATAAAAGGTCTACTGCTTACAGTATATTAATTATGTAATATTTCAGTGTCTGCCATGAGCAAAAACTTTCCGGACACCCTGCAAAGATGGCACGAGACTTCGTCTTACCTGCTGAAGAATCAAACGGCCGTCATTACGGAAATAAATGATATGCAAAAAACTATGGAGAGTCTACGCAATAACTTTAGCAATTTGGAGGCGACAGTGGCCGCCCAAAGAAACCACGGCAAGGATGAGAAGTTGGTGGCCGACTTTGGGGCCAAGATAGAAGCCGTGGCTACCGATATAGAGGCCATCAAGGAACACTATAATAAGTACACCGAGGTTCAGAAAACTCTGCAGGCCGAAACAGAAGCTTTAAAGGTATGTTTATCTAGCTATCTTTTTATTGAATTACAAACTAATTTACGAATACGATACCTTTTCAGGTTAATCTCTCTCAATTACCAACGCTTCAAGCCAACGCTTTGCCAGCAAATTTATCGGAAGACATTGCTGCTCTCAACAAAACCACTCTTAATTCCTTTAAACTATTGGCCAACGATCTTAAGGATGTGAATAATACCCTAAGTCAAACAACGAAAATGCTCAGCGAGGAAATATCTATGCATAAGGTAATCTGCTGCCAAAGTGTTTGTTATCAGTACTTATTCTATTTGTTTATTATTTTCAGACAAAAATAGACGACCTGTTGGATCGATCGGAAAACATTACGTCCCATGTGGCAACAATAAGTAACAGTTGGCCAGAATATAAACAGAAAGTAACCAGCTTCGATGAGTCTATAGATAAAATAGAAAAAGAGGTAAGTCAAGTGTGCTTCCTGTGGCTAGAATCTTAAGATTAATGAATATTTATTGTTCCCAGATAACGGTAACAAACAGTAAGAATAGCTTGCTGGCTGCTTCATTGGATCAGCTAAAAAACTTTTGCATTAAGAGCATGGGTAATACAAAACCTCCCATTAGTGAAGATAGCTCAGTAATCCCCAAGGTATATTTTAAAGTAACAATTTTAAATTTTTATTAACTTTACATCTTTAATTGCAGCCTGAAGCAAATGCCGCTAAGCAGGAATTTATAAAGCCGTCTGCAAATGCCACAGTAAAGCTACAAGAATCTATGAAGCTGTAAGCTGTTGCATTTTTTTTTAGAGATGCCCGTTGTATTACCAAATTTGTTCGATTCCGTATTTAGCCATTAAGACTTCATGGGTTCCATGTGTCAAAGTCACAGCCAACGATAACTAAATTACATTTAACACACGAAAGCTGCAATGTACATATGGTTCAAAGAGCTATTTAACTTAATGACGAAATATAGGATGACGAAGTGCACGTGTGATTTCAGTTAAGTTTACTTTTAAAGTCCGTTTTAGAAAGAGTAACTGTACATAAGGGAGTGAAGTAAAATGTAAGTCCAATATTATTCACTTTAGATACACGATATGTATTTTATTTCAATTTAATAAAATCAAACTAAAGCTCACAAAGTATTCTGTATTTGCTGATTGCTAAGTCTTTTTATTGCAGAACACAAAGGTAAATTTAAACATTAACAGGCTATAACTAGTCATCATCGTACTGATCGTCGAACTCGTCATCATCGTAATCTTCGATGTCTTCTGCCACATAGGCATCCTTTTGCTGTTTTCTTAGGAGCCAAGCCTTGTAGGCTTCCTCCTCCTCAACAGTTGGATCACTGGCCTCGATAAAGTCCTCGGCATGGTGGGGAAACTCCTCCTGCACCATGGGCAAATGCTTGAAGGGAATGTTGCGGGCGTAGTACTTGTGGCCCCAGCCCAAGTATATAGATTCGCAGGTCTTCTCGAAGATGAAGGTGAACGCCCCCGGCCAGATGTTTGATTGCATGAGAAGCATTCGCTCCTTCTGGTTTGTATACTTGCTGGTCAAGCGGACTAACCAGGGAACCGGTACTTCGGCGTTCATATCGTTGGCGCAGGAGGACAAAATACTTGGACCTATTTCCGGCTGATTAAAGCCCTCGATCATACCTTCCTCTTCGCCCTCCTCCTCGCCCTCCTCCTCCTCTTCCTCCTCCTCCTGCTCCTCCTCCATCTCGGCCATCATTTGCATTTTCAAGTAGAGGGCGAGGGCCTTTTCCCTTTCCTTACGGGCCTTCTCCTCGTCGTACCAAACCACTCGTCCCTGGATGTTAAGGATGTTCGACCTTACATGAACCCAAGCCACCGGAGTGGCCAGAGATCCCAATGGTTCTGCTTCGTATTTCTCATTCTTCAAAAGCATTACGTCGTTATCTGGGAATTGAATCATGGAAACAAGAAAAGTTTTTAAAGTTTTCTAGACATACCTTCTATTTGCTCCTCCTCGCCTTCGTTAAGCTCCTCCTCCTCTTCTTCCTCCTCCTCTTCCTCGCCTTCATCGTCCTCCTCGCCCTCGAACATGCGTTTCTCCTTCTTGGTCATCCGCCTGTAGTAACCCACAGGTGCTATATAAGTACTGGCAGTGATGCGACCTATTAAGGTTCGAAGGTAATGCTTCTCTTTGCCGGGAAAACAGGGGTAAGAGATTACATCCGCTTCCAGATCGCCGGTTAGGAACTTCTTGATCTGGCGGGACACTACCATCTGCCGTGGAGTCACAATGGGCAACTCGATCCAATCGTCGAAGAGCGAATTCACTACGAAGTAGGAGTACCTATTGGACCCTAGGCCAACTAACTCCGGTGGAATGTCGTAAAACTCTATTTCCTCAACAAGGGGAACGGGTACCGCCTTCGGTCTCATTTTCTCCAGTTCTTCGGCCGGATACTCCTCCCAACCATAGATTCCCGGCGTGAGTTCCGGCCCAATGTGAGGCGGTAAGGGCTTATCCTCCCTGTCCTTTCGCATCTTAAAGGGTATTTGCTTTTCCCTCATCTCCTCCTCCATCATGACCAAACGGGAGCCCACTTCCTCACGGGTCAGTGTGGCTTCAACTATATAATAGGAAGCTTTTAGTCCATTGATGCAGCCCCAAAATCTGCACTGCATTATCGAGGGATGGGTCTGGAGACGATTCATGGCGCTGGCCAACTGAAATATATCATCGTTGCTGATACTAAATCCACATTGTGTCCAATAAAACTGCAATTGCTGCACACGTTCGTTAAAAGTGACAAAGTATCGCATGGAATCGTCAATAACAATGCGCAGCTCTTCGTTTGTCCTTGGATCTTCACCGGACATATCTTCGCCCAACAAATCCTCGCCTTCGATAATATAAGGCAGCTATTAGAGAGACAAGATGGTTCAACATTCACAAAGGGCTATGTTTTAAATTACCTTCATGGATTGGAGAATCCGCTTGGCCACCCGAAAGGTGCGAACTTCCTCGAAAACTCCGCTGGGAGGAAATCGTTCTGGCAAATGGAACTTTTGTTCGCGAACATTCCGGCTAAATTCCTCAAAGAAATCTATAACATTGGGGGGACGCTCGTCAATCACTCGTTTTATAATATCACTCAAGTGATCAAATCTGTTGAGATGGTAATTATAGTTTTGCAATTAATAAGGCTAATAATTCTAAAGAAAGAATCTAAGGTAATGAGGATTTTGTCAACTGTTTTTCTCTTGGTATTAAATTACTTATGAAATCAGATGTACGAACCTTGTTTTTATACCCTTTTAAATAGTACTTACAGGTTGTCGCCACTGAGTGTGCTATATTTCTGCAAAATTGACTTGGCCACGCTCAATTCATAGCCAATATTTGGGGCCTCGGGAACAGGTGCATTATGCAGATTGCATTGCGAATCAAATACGCCTATGGATATGGTGGTCGTCGAGGATGTGGATGACGATGTTATCACGTTGGAACAGTGTGGAGAGGTTTCCTCGGCGGACTTTTCAGTTTCCTCTTTTTCCGGTTTCTTCCTTTTGGGATTGCAGACTGGCGGAAGAGCAAACTGCGAACTGGACGTAGAGTCTAATGAGAAATTTTGGCAAGAATCTTTGTCCATCTTAATATTATAGTGGAACTCTGACTGGTAAACGTTAAAAACATGTGTTTTTGTTGGCTTGGTAGAACTTAATAATTGTAGGTGTAAATATTTGACAATCTACTCAAACGGAAATTAAGCCTATTTAGTTATTTTATTATTTAAATTCTACATACAATTTGGAAAACAAAGAATTTGAATTTTCAATTTATTTTCATTCCGAGCGCTTACTATCGTTATCGATCGACCAGTTTTGTTGGGAGTCTTCAGTCGTTACCTTTTACAAGGTATATGAGAGTTCCTCATATGTGTATGCGTGTTGTTTACGTTACATCTGATTCTTAGTTTCTTATTTGCAAAAAGAAAGTGCCTAAGAAAGTTGTTATTTGTCTCTAAATCTAAAAACGTACTTGTTTTTAATTTTGTATATTAATTATAGAATAATATATCCGGTGATGTTTAAGACAAATGGCGCTAATTCTGTGTATTTACATTCGAAGACATAAATCACAATCATAGATTGGGAAATAACTTTATTTAAGTTTTGAAAAAGGTAAATAAAGTTGTAATATTTAGCACTAAAATTAAATTAAAAAAGGAATATCAAAAATTTTTATTTTTATTACCTAGTATAGCTTTTAAGAAGTGAATATTTAGATAGATCGTTTAAAACGCTTATTGGGGAGGGGCAGTTCAATGGTCTTTGCGGCACCAAGTAACTTTCTTAAGTGTTTCTAGATCGCGAAATGTATTATCTAAATAACGAGACTTCTGCTCTTCCTTCGGCGGCAAATTTCGCCCAAAGGGAGGCACACTCATCAACCTTAGAGCTAAAGACTGTATCTATAAATCCGGATGGTGAGTATCTACAGAAAGCATTTCACACATTTCTGCGTGTCTAAAAGAATTTCTTTTTTCCACAGACACTTACACTGTTCAGCAGGCGATCAATGCCTTCGGTTTCGGATGGTTTCACGTCAAGTTGTCGCTTCTGGTGGGTCTCTGCTGGATGTCCGACTCCATGGAAATGGCCATCCTGAGTATCCTCGGCCCAGCTTTGTTCTGCGAGTGGAATGTCACAAAATTCCAACAGGCCTCGGTCACAACCATTGTGTTTTTGGGCATGATGCTGAGTTCCAGTTTTTGGACACAACTCAGCAACAGATATGGGCGAAAGTCGGTAGGAATTATCAGTTTCAATGATAAACGAATCTAGTATCTAATATACTATATTTGATTTTCAGGCCCTCACTTTATTTGGAGTATTATTAGTCTTATACAGTATACTAAGTTCAGTGGCTCCCAGCTATGCTTGGCTTTTAACCCTCAGAGGTCTAGTTGGTTTTGCAATTGGCTGCGTTCCACAATCGTGAGTAATTCCATTGGCTTACAAATATTGCACCTGTTAAACTTTCCTTTTACCCATAAGGGTCACCTTATATGCGGAGTTTTTGCCTACGAAACACAAGGGAAAGTGCGTGGTACTAATGGATGTGAGTACTTCTTTGTATTTTTTTATACGACTCTTTTTGATGGAATTCTGTATTTCTTTCAGTGTTTCTGGGCCTTGGGCGCTTGCTTTGAAGTTGTTTTGGCCCTCGTTATCTATCCTTACTATGGATGGCGTGGACTTTTGGCTCTTTCAGCAACCCCCTTATTAATTTTCACACTTCTTTCACCGGTAAGGAGAATTATTTGTTACTTTAGTTTAATGACAGCTTACATCAAATTCAGTGGCTCAGCGAATCAGCGCGCTATTACTCATACAATGGGCATAATGACAAGGCCATCAAGGTTCTGGAACAGGTGAATAATAAGAATACAAAGTATATACATCATTGTAGAATCTTCGATTTTAGATAGCTCACAATAACAAACGACATATGCTGATGGGTCGCTTGATGGCCGATGATGAACCGAGTACTACAGAGAGCTTCAGATCTCTCCTCAGTTCGAATCTATATCGCACTACTATATTGTTGTGGTTCATTTGGCTGGCCTCGGCCTTCTGTTATTACGGATTGGTGCTGGTCACAACTGAGCTTTTGGTGGCCAGAAACAAGGAGAATAACCCAAATGAGTGCGTTACCTTTATGACGTCCGATTTTATGGACCTGCTGTGGATTACCTTGTCGGAATTTCCTGGTATACTAATTACAATCAAGGTGATCAAGCTATTTGGCAAGAAGAAAACCATTGTTCTGCAATATCTAGTTCTTGTATTCTGCACTTTGGTGTTGATGTCGGTAACAAGGTAGGAGAAATCAAACCAGAGTTATAAATAGAACTACATTTTACTATGATTCTTCTAATTCTAGTCGCTTTTCAACATCCGTAACTCTTTTCATTGCCCGAGGAACGATATCTGGGATTTTCCAAGCTATTTATGTGTACACCCCGGAAATATACCCTGCCGCCCTGAGATCTGTGGGAGTTTCGGGATGTTCCGTGTTGGCCAGACTGGGAGCCATGCTAACTCCTTTTGTGGCGCAAGTTTTGATGGATTCATCCAAAGTCCAAGCTATGTCCACCTATGCGTTCGTTGGCTTACTGGCTTCCATTGCCTGTGCTTTTCTTCCCCGAGAAAATGTTGGCTATCATTAGATTATTATGTGCAATTATTATTACAACAAACTATTATTATTATTAAAAACTTGAACTAAATAAGTTTGCCTAGTTTTAGGCTTCGTCTGTTGTGGACTAGTAATGGCAGATGCTATTCTAGAATTCAATTGTTTGCTGGTGGTGAAAACTAAAATAAGATGTTCGTTTTAGTGTTTTTGAAAAGTAACAAAGCTTTGAACCGGGAAGCTTTTGTTTTGCATTAGCGTAAATACTTCGATTTGAGATTTAAGAAGTTGCTAATAACTTGTTTAATGAAAGTGATTACCTGCCAATTTAATATGATTGAAACCTTTATAGTGACTAATAATCCTCTAAATTCGTACTTTGTAAAGCCAATTTCCCACTTATTTATTCGACTGTCGGCGTTTGGCATCATTTATGAGTCAAGTGACAGGAGGAAATGCACTTGCAAATTAATTACAAAAGTCATTATTTCAGAACATAAACATAACGTAGTGGCACGTATAGACACTTCTTGCTTATATATTATAATACTTAATTAAATATGTATGCTGGCGCACTGTTGGGTGCTGAAATATATATGCACTCCTGTGACAGCTATAAACTTTTAGAATGTTTGCTTGTATTTCAGAAGACGAGAATCTAAGCACATGGCTATGCACATGCAGATGCCCGAGGTGCATGTGCATTATTTTTAAATTGTGAAACGATTTTTTCGAGGGGAGCTTTTGTTGTGATCAGCGAATATCGATCAGTCGTACAGTTGTCGGGATGCAGTTAAAATCATTGGTATCCGCACGCAGTAGATATTATTTTTCACGCGACGGAAGTTTAAATTTAAACCTATTCCACTTTTGAATTGGACTGGCCCCCTCGTAAAATTCTTCGACAATTATTATTATGACAAACGAATTCGAGTGCCCAAAAATTTAGTGTTTCAACGATCGATATTTGGGGCCAATCATGCCACAAATCCTGTGCAAATAAAAAAAAATAAAATTCGAAATTGCTCTCAGTAATAAGTTATGCAATACATTTTCGAATACGTACCAATGTGCGTACATTAATGAAGTGTGTGAAGTTAATTGAGTGATACGAAATCAATACAGCCAGCCGAAATGGATGCCGTAAGTTATGCGTGTCCAAAAAAGTGTACAAATAAATCAGGGATATGAACATGTGCCAAATTTACTTATTAATACATTTGTGCATCAGATGTACATACGAAAAAGTGTACAGTGGATGTCCTTGTTAAAAAATTAACTGAAGTTAATACTTTCTTCCGCTGCCTATGACAGATGGAAATCTCTCAAGTGATTCGGTAGAATAATATCGGATAAAAGATGATTAAATATTTAATATTAAATATTTAGAGTGTGCACTTCACTCAATAATAATAAAAATACTCAAAATTTAAATATAAACTAATTTCATTTGGTTCTCTAAAAACATTTCGTCTGGATAATATAAAATATTATTATTAAAATATTATTTTAAACATATTGATGGAAAAAAAGAAAAATTTATATTATTTTTAAACATATAAAACAAAATCTAATGTATAGTGCTTATAAAAATATTATATTATTATTAAAAATACAAAAAAAATGTATTATATAAAGATTTTGCTGATGTTAAAAATGGGAACACAAATTATTAATTTTAAAAAACATGTAATAAATACGCCTGTTAAATGATCATACAAACACAATTCAACATATTGTTTTTGAAAAAGTATCTGTGATTTGAAAATTGCGAAAGTTCTACATGGACGATTTTACTGTGGTTTCGGATCATTGGCCCGAAGTGAAGAACCCTGTTCGAGGCAGAAAATCAGCTGTTTCGGCTGTTTTTGAGCTGCAAGCTTTGCACTCAGTAAAATTGGACATCGAAATAAATAGCCGAGCCCGCGTGTCTATGTCAACGCAAAATAGACTTTCAGCTAACGAGCTAAATATTGCACAGCCACTTTCTGTTTGTGTACGCTGAATCTGAAAGTGTTATAAGAACAAATCGATAAATCTTGGTGTTCATTGGGAAATATCGGATGTATTTGATAAATTGCATAAGCTTTCCGGCTTGTGAAAATAACGGTCTATCTGAGAAAATAGTGATATTTCAGTGAGAAAGAAAAATATGGCTGAAAGAAATGTGTGTGGCTAAATGTTACAACTTCAAAGAAATGCACATATATATTCGGTATCGGTTTTTCTCAACAGGTCGCGGATATAGTATTCGTGAGCCGGGATTATCAGGCTCAATCGATGGCCACCGACGAGATCAGCGTTTCTCGGGGAGACCTGGTCGAACTAATAAGTTCAAAAGCTTCCGAAAAATCAAGGTACGTTATTGGACATCCAAAAAAAATAGGGATCCTATTATAACTGTTTTAAGAGAAAGAAAATGTTATAAGATCTTACCAACTTTCAGATGCTTTGTTAGAATGTTCGATAGTGGGGACTCCCCCAAAGAAGGCTGGGTACCCATTGAAATACTAGAATTTAACCCCACAATGAGTAGCTCGAATGGCAAGGAAA